CACTACAAAGTGCAGTTCAAAGACTGGCGGACTGTGTCGGGAGTATCGAGTCGTAGCCCCGGGGGACAAATTGTGGATTTGGTGGACGGGGCTTTTTAGGGGAAGAGTGGAGAGAAGAGGATCTCCCTTTTGAGAATAAGAGAAGAGATAATCGCATCTGGAGGGACAGCCACAAGCCCCGGATGGGTCCCGCAACGATTCTCGTCTCTTCCCACTAGAGGACTGACAGAATGACCATAATCCCCTCATCTGCCCTTTTATGTGCCGCTGGGGGACCATTTTGAGGAGAGAAGAGAGAGAGAGAGAGAGAGAGAGAGAGAGAGAGAGAGAGAGAAACTCGAGAAGAAAGGCCAAAATCACTGCATTTCAAGGGACTTTTGGACCAGGGGAAAAACTAAAATTCCACGTTTTCGAAGCTTTTGGCATTTTAAAGGGACCGGGAAGCCCGAAATAAAAATTTTCTGGGCTCTAGGGAGTCGAAATTTTATTTTAAAGGGGCTGGGAAGTCATAAATCGCTTTGTCGACCTGGTACACTCAAAATCGATTTTAACCGGCCTGGGAAGATCATAAACTGTTTCCTGGGCTTAAAGGTCTTAAAAATTTGATTTCAAGGAAGCTATACCTGAAGGGAAAAGTTCGGCACTTCCGTACTCACACTCAAATTGGGCAGGTTAGCAGAGACGCCTTCGGAAACCGGAAATCCATGTGAAATCCATACAAAATTTTTCTCAAAATTTGGGTAAAATCGTTTTGGGGGTGAGTGAGTGTGGGAAAATGCTCGGCCACATCGAGAGAGGGAGAAGGGCGTGGCGAATTTTTTGCAGCCTTTCACGGGGAGCAACAGCTCTCGTTTGTCTGCTTTTCTCAGTATCTCTCTCTCTCCTGCTCTCGCTTTCGCTCCCGCATTTTGGCATTCCAATTTTGGGGGGCTAGCCGCGACAAATTACACCCCGACGGTTTGCCCCCTTCAATCTCGAATTGATGGCGGTGGGGGAGAGGTGAGTGGAAAAAATGGCTGGCGATAATTCAGGAGTGACAAGTCATCTTGGGAGGGTGCCAAAATGAGGTTAAAGGGGGACAGCCAAGACGTGATTCATGCAAATTTCGACCTAAGAATGCAAACTTTTTTTACCGTATCGACAAGATGATAGCTCCGAAATCGCTAGCTAGTTAGGTTTTGCCTCAAAATTGGCTCTGGTAGCTTGCGATCCAACTTCTGAGAGCGAGAGCGAGAGAGAGAGACATCGAGAGCGAGATAGAGAGAGAGCGAGAGCTAGAGAGAGCGAGAGCGAGTCAGCGCTAGAGAAAGAGCGAGACAGAGAGCGAGATTGAGTGAGCGAGGGTGAGAGAGAGAGAGAGGGGAGAGAGAGAGAGTGAGAAAGAGAGAGAGCGAAAATTCAAATGTTTTGAATTTCAGCGTCGGGGATTCTGCTGTTCGCGAAAAAAATCCGGCAGAAAAAGCAAAGGCAGTTCTTTGCTACATGTAGAAAAACGGCAACTTGATCGGAACGGACCATTTTCAGCATAAGACCACAATCTACAACACAGAATCGCACATTTTTGATCTCACGACGTTTCTACTACAGTTCCCTCGTTTAGAAGAGACGGAAAACATTTTCAAATCGAGCCAGATATTTTGAAAACAGTGCAAAAACAGTGTTAGCGATAGGCTACAAACTACACTTCTGGACATCGTATGTGTTTCGGAATCGGTGAAAAACCACTTCGCTTTTTCAGCGTAACCAGCGATTTTTCGTTTCGAACTACAAAATAGTTTAAAATAAGTTTCACAGTTAGTCGTACGGGAGCAGCAACGCCAGGCTACAAACTACACCCCCTAGTCCATGTAGTTTTGTCTCTAGATTTCGAGATTCAGGCAGGGATTGGCCCCTGCGAGGGTGGCGGGATTAATTAGATTGGGTATCCCGGGCGAGTAGCCCTCCTCCGGCGGCCAGCCGGCTGGCTGCTTGGTGGTCATCTCTGGGTGGCCAAGGGCCAAGGGCCGGCTAGGACCCACCGGAAACACATAAAACCCGGGAGGCTGCTGCGGGAGCGGAGGCGCATCCTGTGCGCCCAGGAAGGACCACCCGGCTCTAATTAGGAGGCGCTTCTGCCCCCTTTGCTTCATTGCAAATTGTAACTAGGAGCAAAAGGAAATTTTCGGTCAATTTTTGGCGGTTTTTAAAGGGGCCGGCAAGGCAGAAATCCATGGTTTTTCGAAATATTATAGATTTTTGGCGCAAAGGCTAGGAGCTATTTTAAAAGCGAAGGCAAAATTTCGCCAAATTTTTGACTTTTCCGCCTGAAATTAGAATTTTTTTATTTTCGGCAGAGAACAAACAGCACGTTCAATATTCTAAAAATGAGGCACTGGGGAGGCTAAAATGGGATTTTCCACTCGTGCTGACGCCGAGGATCGGATGCGCCCTGTAAAAACGGGCCGGCGGGCAGCCTGTGCAAATAGGAGCTACGCGTAGCGGGGGTGGGGCAAACCGTTGAATCCCAGATGATTTTGAGGGTAGAAAAAATGAGTAAGGGTATCAGGGGTAGTAGCCGTAGAGAGGGATAGATGGCGAGAGAGCGAGAGATAGAGTGAGAGAGTGAGAGAGATCGAGAGATAGAGAGAGTAAACAGAGCGAGAGCAAGAAGTACCAAGGAGATTGTCGGAACTTAATGCCGACGCTTGGAATATATTCATCGAAATGCCGTCAAAACGCGCGGCTACATTCCTGAATTTCCAAACTATCGGTATTTAGCTACAAAAATCCACTTTTCAACTGAACGTATTCCAGCCAAAATGATTTGGCTAATTTGGAAACTTGTACCGAAAACCGTTTTTGAGCTTAACAACGCCTTGAAAATCGCTAAATGTACTTGCAACAGAACGCGCGCACCCCGCGGCGTGTTTATAGGCATGTCGCGTACGGGTAGAGCCCCCCTTGGAGGCGCCGTGCAAATAGACGGAATATTGAATCGGATTCCGTTTCTCTCTCTGTTTCTCTTTCTCTCTCACCCGCCTCTCGTCTGTTTGATTCCATGCGGCGCTTCACAAATAGAGGTCCCCCGGCGCGGTGCATGTGCGCGACACACACGCGCACAGCTCGAAATTAATTGCGGATGATCCTGGAGATCCGACGCTGGCGGTTCTTGGTCTCATCTTAGAGAGCGAGAGAGGGAGAAAGAGAGTGAGAGAGAGTGAGAGAGAGTGAGAGAGAGACTACAGACCCGGGCAATCCAGCGAAGATTCTTTAGGAACCTGAATGCGGACTATCGGGCTGTTTTAATTCGACCAGTTTTACCTTTCCAGGGTTACCTTCTCAGACCCTTTAAACGGCCTGAAAAGCCTTTGAGTCCAGAGTCCGCCCCGAAAGGTCATTTCCAACCTTGAAATACTGTTTCGAAATGAGCAAAAATGCTGTAAGCCACGGCTAGACTGCGGCGGAGAGAGAGAGTGAGAGAGAGAGAGATCCAGACGGGCGGTAACACGATAAAACTCAAGAACCGTCCGTGCAAACCGTAGATAGTAGCGTGGACAAAACGTAAAAAAAAACCGAGAGAGAGAGAGAGAGAGAGAGAGAGAGAGTGAGAGAGAGAAAGCCAGACATTCAATTCAAACTAACTGTCCCCCGACCCCCAAAAACGTCAACCGGAAAAGATGCGCGCGCCATGGTGGCCCGGGAGCAGAAATGCGTGTGCTAATTGCCGGGCAACCTTGAAGCCGACGAGATCGTATTTGGCGCCCTTCCGTCCACAACCTAGACCTTGGTTCGGGATGCGTTTTTCCTAGAGGGGAACCGCGCCCGGAAAAAGGGGGTTATGAAAAAGTTGCGACTCCACTTTCGTCGTCTTCTCAAAAGCTGTAAAATCTAAATAAAATTAATAAAGAAAAGATAAAGACATTCGAAATCAGAAAAGACTACATAAATCATTATAGAAATTCTGAAACGCTCCATTTCCGTTGAGCGCATAGAAGAAATTACAAGCATCCGTTGCCGACGTAGTCAAAAAGAGCGGCAAAGGCTAAAAATTAACTCCGCAATGAAATCCCACAATGGCACCAAAAAAGACCGTTTTTAGAGGGTTACGACACGAAAGTTATCAAACTACGCCCTATGCGCACGCCAGGAAATCAAAAAAAACCCGAACCAGGCCGATAAGTAAGTAGGCCAAGAAAAACACGCGCGCGTTGTTCCAAAATTCGCAAAAAATTAATTCCATTTCAAAAAATGTACATCTCAAGCTTTTCGACAAGATTCGCGGATTCAAATCATCGAAAACCGGGAAGCCGCGGCTTTTTCCTCCTCCCAATCCTCGGATCAATAGTCTGTATTCAAAAACCAAATATCGATTTGATGCCGTAACAAGAACTCCGTATCGGAAAACCAATTCATTTGTGTGTCGACATTTATTCGGGGGCAAATCCAGACAAAATAGGGTGGTAGTGGTGGTGTTGTTGTTGTTCGGTCGGGGTGTGATGTGCTGTGGCCGGCCGGATGGGTCGACCACGCTGCGGATGATGCCGGAGGGGAGATGCGCGACGTCGACGAGAGAAGACACGAGGGTGTGTGGGTGGATGAGGGCAGGGGGGAGAAGGAGGGGGGCCAGTGCGGGGTGACGGCTGAAAAAGTTTGTGATTAAGCTGAAAAAGCTCAAAATCAGAAAAATTAAAATTGGCCCTAGCCGATATTGACTCTTCCGGCTCAAAAATTTACTATTTTTCACTTTTTCAAGTCAAATTTAACGCAATAAAGGCTCAGTTTATACTAATCTTCAATTAAAGAGAAACAGCTTTGTCGAAAAAAATCTAAGAAAAAAGAAATCCAAGCCGCGAACGCTCTAAAAACAAGCCGCTTACAAGCCGAGTAGTCGAAGTCGAGGTGAGCGGGGGATGATGGGTGGGCGATAGATGAGGTGGGGCAAGTTGTTGTGTCGAGCCGAACGGCTAGAAGACGTGCCGGAGAGCGCCCCCGCCGCCGCCGTCGCCGCTGCCGATCGTCTAGTGCTGCTGGGCGGCCTTGTAGTCGCTGCCCGACATGCCGCACAGCGCGTGCACCAGGATGTACGACGCCTGGATGGCGATGAACAGGCCGAGCTCGTACTGGTGGGTGGGCGTCTGGAAAAGAAAAGTGGATATACGACGAATTCAAAACGTAAATACGTTTTAGCCCCTGCAAAACCTAAAAAAATTACCGAGTCATTGGTGACGTTGGCGAAGAGGTACTGCAGCGTGGCGGCGATGGCTCCGCCGTAGAGCAGCGTCAGCAGCAGGTACGAGGCCGTCAGGCTGCCCAGCACCAGGCCCACCGTCAGCGTGGCGAGCGTGGCCGCGCCGGCCGAGGCGCCCAGCAGCATCTGGAATAAACCTGCTTGAAAAAGCCAAAAATCTCGCGTACCTGGCGATTGTTGCCAAACTGGGCCGAGGCCAGCTGGTAGAGGATGGAGGTGAGGGCAACGGGCAGAGCGGCCACCGGGGCACCGCTCACGTATCGGTCGGCCAGGATGTAGCCGACGAGCAGCCCCTCAACGAGGGCGAGGCTGAGCAGGCCGAAGCGGGTCGTCGACTCGGGCACGCCCTCGGCAACGTCCTGAAGAAAAGTTATTGAAAAGGATGATTTAAAAAATGGTTGTATGGTCCAGAAAAAAACCTTAAAATTTTGAATTTTGAAAACGATCTCGGCTTCCTTTTAGCTACCGGGCTGGAAAGTATACAAAAATACTCGCCTCGGTCAGTAGAGTAAGAATACATTAAATTTTAGTCGCAAAAAACCACCAAAAGCGAAAGATAAATGAGTTCAAGTCCAAAGCGAAAGTCCCACTTTTCAACGCAACCAGAATTCAAAATTTAGCTTTTTAATGGAAGTGGCTTTTCAAAACTATAATTTTCAGCTAGAGCCCAGGCCCAGCTCAATTGTGCTACAGGAGTGTAAATTATGCGAAACCTTCCTGTAGAGTAAGAAAAGAAAGAAAGAAAAGAATTAAAGAAAAAAAAGAATAAAAAAGAAAAATTAAAAAAATAAAGCTAAAAAGAAAGTTTTTCTCCTCAAATGTAATGGATTCTTACTCTACAACAAGGCGAACATTTTGCTATACTTTACAGCCCCATAGGGCCGAGGAAAGCCGATATAAAAAATATACAAAAAGTCAACCAGCCTAGTTTCATTACTCACTTGATTGTATTCTGAAACCCAGAAATCAAGCGCTCACCGCCTTGATGCGGTAGTAGGCGATGAGGGGCAGCCCGACGAGGGCCAGCGCCAGCGCGCCGAACGTGCCGATGGCCATCGAGAAGATGGGGGCGAACACGTTGGCCGAGATGACGGTCGCCACCGTCCCGCCGATCAGCATCATCGACGTCCACATCATCGTCGTGAGGACGGCCACCGGCGGCGTCGCCACATCACCCTAAAAAAGGCAGGTGGCAGCAGCTTGGGGCGCGCGAACCGTGGCCTGGATGGTGGCGATGAGCTCCTGCTTGTACGGCTCGACCTTGGCGGGGATGTCGTTGACGAGAGCCGGGGCTTGCTCCTGGAAAACGGGAGGTAAAAATGTCAATTTTTATAGGTACAAAAAATGCTAATTTTTCAAGCAGTACCTGCAGGTGAACAGCGGCCTGCTTGATGTCCTCGATCTTGTCGCTCAGCTCCTGCTGGTACTGCGATGCGACGCTTGAAACGGAGGCGGCGGCCATCTTGTCGAGTAGTGCGCGGTGTCGGGCGAAGGGTTTCCGATGAAGCCCATGGCAAGATGGAGGCGCTTCTATACCTGGAAAGATAGGGAAACGCCGGACAATTTCCGGTGCAGCGCTTCGATTCGTGTATGTCTATGCAACGCGTCGGAACCAAATTTTCATGTCTGTGTGTCGCTTTTAATGCACTTTAGACTGATTAGCAACTGTCGCACTGTTCGCGCGTTTTTTGTAAAACACTAATTCGAAGTAACTAGAACCTAAAGTAGCTTTTTCAAATTTAAAGTTTACTCGCATACCCTGAAAACTTGCAGTTAATATGGTACCGTGCAAGCCGTGCATCATTTTCTAGTGCGCAACTTTCGTAGACAGGAACTGGTTTTAAAGTTTTATTTTTTTTGGGTTTTTGTTTTTTGGATAAATCGGCTACGACTCCGGCGGTCACAATCACAAAAAACAGCTCACGCATTCAAGAGTCGCAGGCGAGGGAACGACAAAAGATTTGGGGGTATAGGTAGAAAGGCGGGGCGGCCCGTATCCGCGCCACGCGAAAAATGATGAATGTTCAGACGGGTTGAAGGAGGGTGGTGGGGGGAAGAGTCTACATAGCCGTATATGCGGGGAGGGCTGTACTACGGGCTAGAGCGGGTATATAACATATGCACGCCGATACAAAAGTTACAACAAATATATGGTGTGTATGTGCTGGGAGAGACAGACAGAGGGAATGGTACGAGATGATCGAATTTGTTGGCAGGCGACCGAGCGAACCCGGGGAGCAGCCACGTTGAACTTGATGGTAGAGCGCGCGTTGTTGTGCTCATTCGCTGGGCTTCGGCTGCTCGTTGCTGCTTCCGGCGGAGGCTTCTGTCGTCACCTTGTCCAGCGACAGCTTCGCCATCTGCTCCTGGGCCAGCTGCTGGTCGTTGATCTCCTTCAGGTAGAGCTCGTAGTCGCGGATCATCTCCTGGTCCTCCTCCTCGCCATTGTACGGCTCGTCGACGTGCGTGTCTAAATGGAGATACGTTCATGGCAAATAATAGCAATCACAAACCATAAAAAGCCCGCTCCTCGTCGCTCAGCGAGATCTGGGCGCCGTTCTCATCGACATAGCTGCTCGACTGCATAGTGGCCGGGTGCCGGAACTGAAAATGATTCAAAATAGGTGCCGATTTCTCCCCCCGGATACGCCTATTATATAAACCATTTACGCAGACACTTTTTTTAGATACAAAAGGCTCCGGAAAGGTGGGAAAATTTTCGAAAAAGTTCAAGTCTTCCGTCATAAAAGTACGAAAAAATGTCGCAAAAGCGTCGAATCTTCTAGAAATCTATTCCAGGTCAAAAGGTAAAAAACCTATAAAAATATACCATATTTTATTATTACCAGACGAAGACGCAAAAAAAATATTTTTGGCACTGTTTAGGGAAGAATACAACACTACAAAATCCTCACCGGCTGCACGCCCTGCCAATTCTTCTTTGTGTGCTCGTTGATGAGGCTCTTCAGCTCGCCCCGGGTGTGCTCGCCGAGCTTGTGGTGTCCGTTGGAGAAGGCGTCGAGCACCGTCATCACGTCATTCAACTGCGGCTTCAGCGGGTCCATGGTGTTCAAGTGGCGGCCGGCGATCTGAAAAAAAAACGGAAATCACCGTTAAAAAGGAGAAACGGTACCTGCAGAATGGTGATGACGTGCTGGATGTCGTCGTCGGACTGCTGGTTGTGGGGCAGCCGTACCCGCTCTTCGACCTGATCGAGGAGGGCCTTGCCGAGTGGCTGGATGCGCATTTCGTTCTAAAATAACAAAATTATTTATTATACGCAGCACCGAATGAGTCATCTTTTGCGCCCAGAATGTTTTCATTATGACAGCCCACACATTGATCTTCGATCGAGAGTTTTACATGACCATAGCAAATTTTCCAAAACCCGGAAATAGTCAGCAACATCGGCCCCACATTTATGGCAACTTTGAGCCCGATCTGACACTGTCTGCAGCCCTCCTTGTCGCTTCCTGGCCAGCACCTCGCGCCACACCAAAACGTACCATTGTTAACCTGGAGAACAGCTCGGCGGTGAAACGCCTCAAGTTGCGGCGCTTGTCCTCCTCCATGTGGTTCCGCGACTCGTGGAATTCTTGGAAGACGGGCAGCACGCAGTTCATGATCAGATCGGCGTTCTAGGGACAAAGTAAAAGGAGCCAGCACGAAAAGCACCTCGCTGAAGAGTTGGGCGACCAGCCGGGCGAAGGTGTAGGGGTGCAGAGTTTCCTCGTCGCCTTGACCGGCAAAAATCGCCTAAAAAAGTGGGTGAAGGAGTTTACATTGCAATTATACCATCTCAATAGCTAGCGCCGTCGCCACTTTCTTGTCCTCGATACCGAATTCGGGCGTGGCCATGCGCTTCTGGATGGCCCACGACCAGCTCTCGAATTCTGTGGTGTCGCCCAGCAGCTGCTCGAAGCCGATTTGCACCTAAATTCGGTATCTCGGAAATTATAGAAAGCACACCTCCATGACGGCGGCCTTGTCCCGGCAGCCCTGCAGCTTCATCTGAAGGCCAGACGACGGGATGTATTGAGCCGAGTTGTCTTCGCTAAAAAAGAAAAATATGTTGGTTGGGGGAAACCAAAAGCTAAAAAGCTAATAACAAACTTACAAAAGCAATTCGACATTGTAGCCGTCTTTCCCATGGATCTCCGGGTTGAAGGCGGCGGCCATCCCGTGCTGATGCTGCTGCGCGGGCAGATTGTAGGACGACTGAAAAAAGATGGTTTAAAAGCAAAAAGGATACAATTTCTGCAAAAAACCCTTCCCTTGAAAAATGAAAAACGAGGGGAGCGAGAAAAGCAAGATCGTGATGAAAAAGAATGGTGCAGGATATAATGTAAAAGAAAAAGCGCTGAAACGGCAGGGAAACCGTGCTCCGAGTCTAATCTCGACAACGACTACCACCTAATTAAATGAAGCTACGCCGATCGCCCCCATGAGCTCAAACACAGCGCCGACGGCTCATCAATAACAAGGTTGACGAGTTGACGCTGGGTGTGTCCGTGGAAAAGCAGATGGATGGATGGACGGGGCGCCGCGGGAGCGTACAAGCGTGCTCAGGATGGGGAGGGATGCTGTTGTGGAGGGAGGGCGACGACCGTGTGTGTATACAGCACCGAACCGCAGACCCCCGCCGCGAGGGGAAAACGGCTGTTCGTTCGAGCGCATCAGCATTAGCAAGGTCAGCGGCGCCTGCAGGGGCATCCAGGTAGGCCCATTCCTGATCTCCCGGTCAACAAGAGAGAGGGGGAAAGCTTGTTGACAACTTTTCACTTCGGGATTGGCATGCTCTAATAGGCCCAAAAGAGATCAAAGAAAGGTATTATAAGAGTGGAATAAAAGAGAAGATATTTCATCTGTCCGAATTTGAGTTCACCAAATTTCGACAAGGAATTATCAACCCAAGCTCATAAGGAGACGTTTTTAATGACAATCGAAGGTGTTAGAAATATGATTTTAGTGATTTTGCCGAAACTGGGCCATTTTGTGCCTTTTGCGCTCTGAAAAGCGGGTCCGAATCGGCGAAAAATTTTGCACAAGGTACGCTTGTTCCCCTAAGGAAACCCGATTGTCACTAAAAAACGTCTCCTGATGAAACTCGGCCAGATGACCGACTACAAATCACATCAACGTCTACCCAGTACAGAATATGACAAACGACGCCAGATCATTACAAAATCCCGACCAAATTGAGTACTTTTCAAAAAGAAACGCAAAACTATACCGTAGCAGTATTAGAAGAAGATTGCTGGGCTTTGGGCACAAACGACGGCGCGTTCGGGTTCAGCTGGAAGTTGGTGGGGTGGTGGGCAGGCGCCTGGTGTTGCTGCTGTCGACCTGAATAAAAATTTTCACAAAAACGACCCTAGTTTACCAAGATTGTTCCAGGGAGCCTGGCCGTGGTGCTGATGCGGCGCCCCACCGTACGGGTCAGCGTTCTGCAAAAAAAAAAATTTTGAAGATACTCGAAAAACCTTACATTCTGAGGACCGAAGCCTCCGGGCCGGCGCTGGTCGTAGCCGGAGTGCTGCTGCAGGGGCGGCCACTGCATCGGCTGGTGTTGCGCATTGTACTGCGGCTGCCGGCTGTTGTTTGGCACGAATTGTTGCACCGGGTAGTGGGTCCAATCGGACGCGTCCCCGTAGACGCCGTAGGGCGCCTGGTTGTGGTGTGGACGACTCATCTGGAAAAGCACGGTTAGAGATGAGCAAACTTGCAAAACATGGAGAAAGAGAGACAAATAGGTGCATGAAAAAAGCCTATGAATGCCCGAAACGAAGCGGGCTCGACACATCGAGAAAACACCTAATTTTTGTGGATAATAAATAACCTTTTGATCAAAAAAGGCGGCTGAGAGTGTGAAATGGCAATTCTACACATCCAATAGCAAAAATTATCACGTCGTCTACGCTACAAACGAAACGGGCCAGGGCAAGGGGCTCGATACAGCGTTAGTTCACTCAATTTTTGTGGATCATAGCCTTTAGAGCAAAAAAAAGCTGCTCAGAGGTCTTGTTTACGCCAATTCTACAGCAACACGGTCAACAATATTCACATCGTCTAATCCTGAAACGAAGCGGGCTCGACTGAAGGGGTCTGTTCACGTCAAAAAACACTAATTTTGGCGGATCATAGCCTTTAGAGCAAAAAAGCGGCTCAGAGCCGTGAGAATGGTCTTGTTTACGCCAATTCTACAGCAACACGACCAACAATATTCACATCGCCATATCCCCCAACGAAGCGGGCTCGACTGAAGGGGTATGTCCGCCGGGGAAGCACTCAATTTTTTTGGATTTGGGCCAAGAACTTGTGCCCGAAATCGATCGCCGGTGCCCAAGAAAGGGGGGTGCCAAGGGGGGAGAGCCGAAAAAAATAATTGGCACGAGTCTTCGTCGAGAGCGCGCGGTTGTCGAATGGGCAGGGTGGTGGGCCGTAGGCGAAATATCGGCGCCTAAGCCGTTGCGAGGCGGCCCCACCCCGCCCAGTCCCCTGTTTCTCCCCTCCCATTTTTGATTGGCGCCGCGCCCACGCTTTTTTAGGCCGCTGTTTTGACGTTTTTTGTTGTTTTTATATTTAAAAAGTTGTAAAAGCAAAAAATGTGCTCCATTTAGTAGAACAAATGGTAAAACCTTGTAGTGAATTCGCAAAAATCGGACGGTCGTAGGAAAATGGTGCGGGATAACGAGAGCGACAGACTATAAGACGCTATTTCTATCGTAGCGACCTAGCGACATCCGCAAATTGCCCAAATTCTGCGCTTTGCGTTTTTCCTACTTTTGCGATTTTTCACGATCACCCATTTGTGCGTCACTTTCTTCCTTTTTTTTCGTAACTTGGCAATTCATTTTCCGCCTAATTTCCCCTTCTAGCCATCAGATTAAATGAAAAAGAGGAATATGGTGATAACATCACGGGATCTTTGCAGTGCACACCTTGCCTAATATTTTCACCTTAGCAGCTTCAGCAAAATTGAGTAAATAAACGAGCGTACTGACGAAGTTGGGCAATCCAAATCTCGGCAATCTAAATCCGTTATTATATCAAAACATTGTTTTCCACTAACCGAAGCATCCAATCTTTGTTTTGTTGAAAGAAAAGCTTTCCGACTAATAAATCCCTTCTTCCTACCTTCCTTCTACCTTCCATTTGAAAATGTTTCAAATTTTCCGGTTTTGCTATATTTATTTTTTAGTTCCAGCACCTGGACTACAACAACTTGGCCCACCCAAGGTAACCTATCATTTCTCAAGCGAATCTTATCTTTTTTTTTCTAGATCAACAATGAGCGATGGGGACTTGAACGTCGACAACCTCATCACGCGACTTCTCGAAGGTAAACTACCTCCTGTTTCCGCAACCTTTATGTTTAGTGAGGGGATGCCGCCCGGGCAAGACCGTCTCGATGACGGAGAGCGAGATCAAGGCGCTGTGCATCAAGTCGAGGGAGATATTCCTCTCGCAGCCGATCCTGCTCGAGCTCGAGGCGCCGCTCAAGATATGCGGTGACATCCACGGCCAGTTCAACGACCTGCTGCGCCTGTTCGAGTATGGAGGATTCCCGCCCGAAGCCAACTATCTCTTCCTCGGCGACTACGTCGATCGCGGAAAGCAGAGCTTGGAGGTAATCATTTTTCCAAAAACGAAAAAATTTTATGTTTAGACAATTTGTCTGCTCTTGGCCTACAAAGTCAAGTACCCGGAGAACTTCTTCCTGCTGCGCGGCAACCACGAGTGCGCCTCCATCAACCGCATCTACGGATTCTACGACGAGTGCAAGCGGCGCTTCTCGATAAAGCTGTGGAAGACGTTCACCGACTGTTTCAACTGCTTACCGATCGCCGCGCTCATCGACGAGAAGATCTTCTGCTGCCACGGAGGGCTGTCGCCCGATCTGCAGAACATGGAACAAATCCGTCGCATCATGCGCCCGACCGATGTCCCGGACACGGGTAAATTTCGAGGTTATTGATAAAACACTGTTTTTTTCAGGACTTCTTTGTGATCTGCTGTGGTCGGACCCGGACAAGGACGTGCAAGGCTGGGGCGAGAACGACCGTGGCGTCTCCTTCACGTTCGGCCCGGATGTCGTCGCCAAGTTCCTCAACCGCCACGACCTCGACTTGATCTGCCGCGCGCATCAGGTAAACTAATTTTTGGGTTTCCAAAAAAATAATTTGTTTAGGTTGTCGAGGACGGCTACGAGTTCTTCGCGAAACGCCAACTGGTGACGCTCTTCTCGGCCCCGAACTACTGCGGCGAATTCGACAACGCGGGCGGCATGATGAGCGTCGACGAAACCCTGATGTGCTCCTTCCAGGTATGATTTTCATTTCCTCAATTTTCGTTTTTTTTTAGATTCTGAAGCCATCAGAGAAGAAGGGCAAATATCCGTACCCACCAACGAACCCCAACCGGCCGGGCACCGTCGCGTCGGGCAAGAAGAAATAATTATTTGCCCCCGTCCGTAAACCTTACTACTCCATTTCCACAATTGTATTATTCTACAGACTATGTTCACTTGGACTTAAAGAGAAACATCCCTCCTTTGGCAGCCCCCCTCAGCAAGTTTTGTAATAACTCGGGTAGTTGCGCTTCATTATAATTACTGCAAATCCCTCATACATCCGTTGTCATCCATTCACGTTCACCATCGCCCCGATCGTTTTGATCATACTTGCTGAGCCCCGAAATTCCCCTCCTCATCCTTTCGCCGCGTTCTGATTGTCCCGCCCCCACTGTTTTCCCGTTAACAATATAAATAAATAAATGGCTTATAATAGGCGTTCTTGATTCGGCTTGGGTGTTGGTTTTTCGCAAAAGCAAATACCGTGATTTTTTGGAGGAATTCGATACTGAATTTTTGTGAGTGCTGACTGCACGTATTCATGGTTTCGATTTTTGTCGGTCTTATTGACCTCTGCAGCTTGACTTCTTGTGCATCTGTTGTTGATAAGGGTCTTTGTTGCACTAGTGAGTACACTATTGTCTTGGTAGCCACAAACGAGCCAATTGCTGAACTGAGCCTCCTCCGATTTCCTTGCTCCATTCCCGCCCGATCTGCTATTCACCCGATTCCGTGCAGGTTTCGCCTCTGCGCGCCGGAAAGGGCCGCCGTTGGATGGCCGCGGATTTATTCGAGGCCCCAGCAGCCGTTTTCACCCCAGCATCAGCCCCACTTCTCCTTGGCACCGACGTCCGGAAGCTCAGCAACTTCCGGGTGCTGCAAAGTAAGCACTTTATCGTATTCGTGGGGTTGAGCAAGTGATTCCTCTTCTCTTCGGTGTGCAGTTCCGCTTCCTCTCCAAAACCATCTTATAGGCTCGAGCGCCCCGAGGGACAGGTCCACTTCAGCTGGTACCGGGTCGAGGGCGCAGCGCAAGAAGTTCAAGAAGAGTAGAAGGTTCGATTTCTGAATTTGAAATGATTGGGATTTTTTTCAGTAACGGCAGTAGAAGATCGACTGACATGGAGACGATAGGCCATGGCATATCGCACCTATTCAAGGCCGGCCGTCCACACATCAACGGGGACGCGCTGATAGCGCGTGAGCCGAAGGAAAAGGTTTGGCTTTTCATTAAAACGGCTATAGGCAATATTTTCAGATGAACGCTCTCGTCATTAATTCTACAGCTCTGTACTTGAAGCGCCTGAATGGTGATAGGTTCGCCATCTCCACTTTTCTAAGTACTTCTTTTAGTAAGCCAAGCCCCTCTGGCGCCCTGGTCGGCTACTCGGATTCCGAGGAATCAGATGATGCCGAAGAGGAGCCGCCGAAGCGACAAAACAGCCTGCCGAAGCTCCACGGCACAACCTCACCGAAGACGGCACAGCCTCGATTGTCAAATGGTCACGCGGAGCCGCCGATTACTCCAAAGGTATTGCTTTAATTTCCAGATGTAATCCGGTATTATTTTTTAGAAAATCAACGGAATTCAAGCACCAGAAACACCACCGGCGAGCCCGGCAACGCCTAGTAGCCCAAAGGTATAAAACGCCATTTGCTTTGAATACACCGTTTTTTTTTTAGAAATTGGACGGGACTGCCGAACGTGTCTATGGTCCACAACTACCGCCGCACTTTGTCAAAGCTCAAGCGGCGTCCTGTTCACGGGAGCCGGAAGTGGTATTTTCGATATTTTGGACTGAAAATGTGTTTTGCTTTAGAACGGCGAGTCGGTCCCCAAACGACACAGCCTCGACAGCAAGCTGATGGCCCCACGGTCACTACTGGGCAAACAGGCAGCAACCAACGGCCACGTCAACCAGAAGCTGGTCTACGCGGCGACGAACGGCAGCTCGAACAAGGAGAACGGGCACGGCAAGCTCACCGAGCGTCCAAATGGGCTATTCCAGCAGAAGCGGCCGCTTGAGCATAAACCAGGTATAATTTTTAAACGCTTTTTGTGTGGGTGGGAGCGAACAGTGTTTAGAAAGAGTCGTTTTTATGTGTGGTTGCTCATTTGATAGAGAATGGCATTCCAGACCTTTCCTGTCTTTCAAAAATTTGAAAAAGGAACCACGAGGAAAACTTTTGTTAAGTTTGCGTTTTGTTACGAATGCCAAAATCAAATGTTGCCGTTTGGTAGCAAATTTTCTCAAAGAAGGTTCAGCAATTTCAGAAGCAAATCGATCTCATTTTGCATGCATTTTCAGAAGACCCTCCAAACCAGCGACGGCGCCTGCTGTCCGAGCGTGGCGAGGAAGCCCAAAAGCATCCCATCCTGGACCGCGCCGTGATTAGCCACTGGAGAAGTGGACGAGCCAGAATAGAATTGTGAGTTTCGAGATGGCGCTTTTTTTAATTACGCTTTCATTTAGGGTCGCTGCACGCGCGGTGCCGGTCTCGTCAACCATCGCAACGACTGCTTCATGAATTCCTGCCTGCAGATTGTTATCCACACGGCGCCGCTGGCCCGCTTCGTCCACGACCACGTCGCAATCTTTCAAACGGGTCGGTTTGCGGTTTTATCAACTTAGCAACTCATTTTTTTCAGGATGTCCAAGCCCGTGTCTGCTTTGCATGCTGAAACGCCAGGTCACCGAGTCTTTCAACTCGTCGCACGCCATCCGCAACCAGATGATGAACGCTTCTAGATGTAAGTGCTCAGCATCAGTCCGCTATTCTGATTTTAGTGTTCTTCAAACACCACATCCCTGGGCGACAAGAGGATGCGCATGAGGCGTTTCTGCACTTACTGGACGGAATCGATGCTGTCGCGATGCCGGGCGTCAAGTAAGGATCGATTATTTGCTCCACGTTTTCTTTTACAGGCCCGCCTCACGCTCCATCGGCAACGAGAGGTCCAAGTCGACGCCGTCGGAACAAATTTTTGGGATGACAATCCGTTACAGAGGTTAATTTCTAATTTTTTAGTAAAATTGATTTATTAGGGGTCTGCCGGCGTTGTCAGCACGAGTCGAACGGGTACGAGCGGATGCGGGTGCTGGAGCTAGGAATGGATAAGGTATCGAAATTTGTGCCTTTTTCTAAGCCGGTTTTGTTGCGTTTTTGAAAACTTGTCTAATAAATCTTTTAAACTAAGCTAAATTTACTGTTTCTTTTTGTTTGCTTTAAAAAGAACTTTTCCAAAAGCCATTCTCTAAAGATCCTTTTAAAATCGCTTGTTTAGTGGAAACAAACGAGCGTCAAGGAGTTGATTGCCCGTTTCTTCCGCACCGAGCAGCTGAACGACTACAAATGTGAAAAGTACGTTTCCGTTTGCGGTTTTAAACGTGGAAAATCAAAAATTCTTTCTGAGACTCGTACTTTTGTTTTTATCAAAATTCCGTTTCACAATGCCGTGGTCTTTATTTTATTTTGTGATTTAGGTGTGCTTTCCGCGGCGCCTACTCCAGAACTGCTCAACTGCTACGACCACCGGCCGTGCTCGTCCTCCTCATCCAGCGCTTCTCCGTCCTGCGCAAGGTCCACGAGCGCGTCTTCATGGATGTATGTCTTTTTCTGTTGGCATTCATTACCTCTGATTTAGCACGAGCTCGATCTCGAGAGCCAGCTCGTCGACTGGGGCCAAGATCGTGACATCCACGGGCCGGCGCGCTATCGGCTTCGCGGCATCATCGAGCACCATGGGTATTTTTACGTAGCTTTTGCTGTTATCACTCTGTTTAGTTGCACGATCGGCAGCGGACACTACCAGGCCTACCACACCGACGTGACCGGGCAGCAATGGTTCAGCTTCGACGACGAGATTGTTGGTTTTTCGCTTTTTATTTTATTACCGTGACGGAATTGATAAACGTTGTCCGGTAGTCCGGTAGTCCCTTTCGCTGAAAGCGAGCTTAAAGAGATAGGGGCGGCATAAGTCAATCGATTACGCGAGGGAAAGAAAATGTCTCTGCGCCTCTCCCCTGGGAGCCCTCTCTCGCGCGAGATCGCCGCGGGACCTGTTGAACCCCTCCTCCGCAAGGGCCCAACAGAGGCCGTCCTCATCTCTTTAACGTTAAGCTGACAACTAGGTTTGCTTCGGCGTCGCTTAGCTTTCACATCGACTTAGAGCGCTTTCAAACCACTTCTTGTCGTTAGTACTCCATGTGCTTGGCTTCGCTTAGAATACTTTGTGCAATCAATTTGTTAGAAACGTATCTGACGTACGGGACTTCTAACATACCGAAGAAGCCTCAAGTCCTATTATTCAAAGCTAAAAAGCGGTCACCATCCGGTTCAACCGTATATTACTGAAATAACGGCTGAATAAGCCTTAAATAAAGTATTTTCGTTACTAAATGTACAGACTTGAATTTAAATAGTAGTTATAGTTCTCAAATAGAGCCACAATACTTCGGATTTTGGACTCCTCCAAGCCAGGCTGCACGATAAAGCACCCTCTGGCATGTTGTAATACTAATTACAGTATATTATAGTAATAAAGAGTTTAATTTATAATGTTTTACTAAGTAAAAATTAAACGTAATTCAGCCGAAAGCCGGCCCGTCCGATCGGCCCTTTTTAAAATCCCCGATTTCGGCGGCTCCAATATCGAGCAAATTTTCCGTTTTTTAAAATCCCCGATTTCGGGAAAAATCCCCGATTTCTGGTAAAATCCCCGATTTCGAAGATTCCAAACTAAAATCCCCGATTTCATACAAAATCCCCGATTTCGTACAAAATCCCCGATTTCATACAAAGTCCCCGTTACCGGTATAGAGCCGTTTTCTCATTAGCGGCGCGGAAAAAGAAAGGTTTTTGGGATTCCTGCATCTCTAAAATAAAGACAGGCGTATTTTCTCAATTTCTAAACGTAGAATCCACAAGTTTTGCGCAAAAAATCTGGGAAAATCACGGTCAGAATGTAGTTTTTTCGCCCTAAATTCTGAATTTTGACAAGATATGGAAACGAGGAAAATTTTTGGTTTCTTCCGCCCGTAATGACTCTTTTTTGGTTTTTTGGGCTTTTTACTAGCCTTACTAGCCACAATAACTTCGTTCTTTTTCAGGTTGGGCGCACAAGCGAGGCCGACATCCGCCGGACGGCTGACCAGGGCTGCTATCTACTCTCCTACCATCGCGTGTCCCATTGCTGACCGGCCGCCATCTTCACATCGCCGCGTCGATCCTCATCGTCACCGATTTCCAAATTTACCGTACGGGTTTTGCGCTTGGTAGAATTGATCATACTGTTTTCCGGGTTCTGGTTCGTTCGCGGGGGGTTTTCGCCCGGATTTTTCTAAGTTTTCGGTATTTTCAATTCAAAATGTCATCAAAAATTCGACTTTAACTACCGCTCAAAGTGACGCAGTTCAAAATAGCTTGTAAAAACAGAAGGTATCGACGAAAATCCCCCACCGCTAATGAACCAGAACCCTCCCTCCCTGCCCCGAGCGCCCTTCATATGCTCTTCTGGAGCTGTTTCACTGTTTGTTTTGACTAGAATATCGAAATGATTGTTGGCCATCCATCGGGTATTATTGTGATTCTTGCCCTCTCCGTTCTCTTCCCCTCCTTCCCCCCAATGTGCGCTATTTTTTGCGCGTCGTTGTGTTCCCCGCCTGTTTTTCCCTCTTTGTATTACTGTTCCCTCGCCCTTCTATGGAATTGAAAAGTCTATAAGTGTTGCAAAGACTAGATTGGGATTTGATAAACTGTTGATTTGTTTTGTTTGGGCATTTATGCGGGGAAAAAGAGGAATTTTTGTTTGTTGTTGGGTCCAGGGTTGAGAAATATGATTTGAATCTGCTTCCTCGATTACCAAGCCAACTCCCCTCCTGTAACCCATTCCACCGTTTTCTACTTGCTTTGCTTGGTGGGTTTATAGAGTTTTTGTGGTACTAGTGAGGTTGCGAGAGGTGCTTTGCTACCGGATATATCCGTTTTGTTTCGGCTTAGCTTTAGCTCAGGATTGACTTGCGACTTCATCACGTTATCCAACCAAATCCCCGAAATCAGCCTAAGCAGGGTAAAAAAGATGTTTGAAAAGTTAGAAAACAAAATTGCGCCCTTCGAACTTGAATAGCACCGACTTTATGCTCTCGATTTCAGCGATTTTCGGCACCTTCCCGCGCGCCGTTGTGCGGCCCCGACGATGATGGCACGTCAGGCGAGCGGCAGCGGCGGTGCCTCGAAGATCTGTAACAACAACACCGGCAAGCGCTCCAACTCGGGCAGCAGCAACTCGCCCAACGGGTCCAATGATGCAAAGGCGGTAAAACCTGGTACGGCGACTTTCTCAATATGGTTTAAAGAAAAGGACACGCTGAATTTTGATACTTTAAGGTCGCGCGGGGGAACCAACTTATTTTCCGCGGGGCAACCAATTTGCGTATACTTTTCTACATTGTTTTTAGCTATTCTTTAGCATAAAAATCTTACAAACTGAAATGAAAACTAATTTTAAGGCTCAAGTTCAGAAACCCCCCAGCCGACTTTTCAACTTTTATGCCTTTCTTATCGTTATTTTTCGCTACTTTTATCGACTGAACTGCAATGTAGCCTTACTAATTAGCCTGCGGCGAACATTTTGGTATACTTTAGAGCTCGCTAGCACAAAGGGGGGCCGAGATACAAAAGTTGGTGCCGGCTGGGGGGGGGGTTTCTAGACTCTTACCAGTTTTAAGCTGAAAAATTGATTTTTCGACCCAAAATGGCAAATTTTCGAGTTTTTCAAATATGTTTGTACTTTTTGAAAACTTTTTCTACCTTCATTATCATTAAAACATCCTAAAAACTACATAAAAACATTTTCGATTTGATTACTTGGAAAACCGGGAAACAAGTTACTTGGAAAAAAGTTGGTCCCCGCCGCGAATCCTAAAGAATCGGAATTGTTAATAAGGTATCATGAAATGACATCACGCCGAAAACCATAGCGATTGGAACGATTACGTTCCAACGGTTTACGGAAGATCGTCCCTTTTAAGCCGGAGCCTCCGGAAATCGGCAGCGCTCGCGGCTTGAGCCCGCCCAGAAGAAGCCGAGCGGCACAGAGCGCAGCGGAAAACCAGCCGCCACGCCGAAGGGCCGCTCGCAGATGCTCGACGCGAGGTCGAGGCGTATTGCCCAACGTAAAGCTTTTTTTTTGGTGATTTTCCAGTCCAAAAATCTACATTGATTGAGTTATGGTAAAGTGAAATTTAGCCGCTTTTCCAGCGGGTCTTAAGGCCAGAAAAGATGGATGTAAAGTTCTTATGTTTTTTCTTACCTTTCCTTGATTATTCCGAATTTTTATACTGTTGGCTGAACTCCAAATCCCCCCCCCAGCCGGCCTGCAACTTTTGTGGCTCGGCTCCCTGTTCATCTACAGGCGTGTAAAGTATACCAAAATGTTCGTCTTGCTCTGGCGAGTATTTTGGTATACTTTAAACACCTGTAGATGAACAGGGAGACGAGATACAAAAGTTGGGGGACCGGCTGGGGATGGTTATCTGAAGTTCAGCCTTCAGTTTTACCAAAGCGTTATTATGATACACACTTATACGTTATGAGACATTTCTGGATCTATAAAACAAAAATTCCGTGCCCCCCCCCCGATAGTGCAAAAGCACCGGTTTTCCGGTTTGCTCGGTGCTACAATTTGTAGCTGGTTTTTCCGAGCCATTGGAATAGTAGCATCTTCAGAGATCCTGAAAAAGTCGATGGCGAGACCGTTGGCCGTTCCCGGGCAGCGGAAAAACGGCCAGATGATCAACTTCAACCCCAAACCTTATGTCCCAGAAGGTTTATTTCTTTTTCTATGCTTTTTTTCCACTTTTAGATTTACATCTTTTCCATGTTTCGTAGCTGAAAAAAATCGCGAAATTTCAGAGATACCGCGGCTGTGCGGCGGCTCCCAGTTGGACACGGAGACGCACAGGTAGCTGCAGCGGTACTGGAGTGTTAGCGGGGGGAAACGTTGTCTTGGATATATGTATCTAAGGTAAGTTTTGGCGTTTTTAGCGTTTTTTTGCTTTTTTCACGTCTGAAAATTCATCAAAGATTTGGTACTCGGCTGTTAGCGGGGGGTTATACCAAAAGATAAACATGAGATTTTGCACAGTTATAATTGGGTTCAAAAAGGCATGACAATTTTTGAGAATTTTGCACTAGGAAAACTAGCTAAAAACCTTCAAAAACGTTGGAAAAGTGGAAATCTTGGTCAAAAACGGCCATTTTTTGTCGAAAAATCGATACTTATTGTATTTTTTTCATCGAAATTTGTAAAGTTTTTACGCTTAGAAATAGTAAAAAATCGTTTAGAAACACTTTCGCTTTTTACGGTCAAAAGACTTTTCTCCCCCCCGGCTAACAGTTCAGTACCCCGCACCGTTCAGCTACATCGTGGCCGGGTCCCTGGGCTGCGGCAGCTTCGGCGAGGTGTGGCTGGTACGCGACCGGAAATCGCAAGAGCTCGTCGCCATGAAGGTCGAGCATATGGGGAGGACCGGGAATGCGATGCGGCTGCACAACGAGGTGCAAATTCTGCAGGACTGCAACAAGGTCGGTTCCGCAAAGGGCCTTTGCTAGCTAGCAGGGTTGGTCCATTTGGTATCCGGATCCTATCCGGATAATATCCGGATACGGGTATGTATCCATACCCGCGGCATTAGCATATGTTCTTTGGATACGGATAATATCCACAATGGATACGGATAGTATCCATATCCGTAGAATGAATTTTGCCGGATACGGGTATGGATACGGATACAGATACGGATACTACCCGGTATCCGTTGCGGATACTTTGGATACTTCCGGTTTTTTATGCAAATCACGGTATTCAGTTGTGTTTTGTATGGAAGTCGTTACGACAAGATATTTTGTTAAAGTCTAAATCCAAGCACTATGCAGTTACGATGTTACATCCACCGATTGGACAGCACAATTGTGCACACGAGATTTCCTTTATTTTTGAAGTTTTCTTAGGTGGTTCTGTCGTCTGGGTTCTCGCCTTGGTGTCATGTACTTGGATCTTAAAGCCTTGGAACATTGGGGATTTGTTAGAATTGCGGATACACCCGTTTTTATCCCGTTTTCGATGCGGCTGAGGAGTGATGGTGAATCTAGGCTTTAATGTTGATCGTTTCCATACAAAATAAGCTGAATATCGTGATTTACATAAAAACCGGAAGTATCCAAAGTATCCGCCACGGATACCGGGTAGTATCCGTATCTGTATCCGTATCCATACCCGTATCCGGGAAAGCCATGCTAATTTTGGATACGGGTACGGATACATATCCGGATACCAAAGTATCCGTATCTGCCCAAATTAGCATAGGTTCACGGATACGGATATATATCCACATGTCCGAAAATGGGTACCGATGCTGGATACGGATATTCAAATGCCCAACCCTGCTAGCTAGCCATCTTTGGTAAGAGTCTAGGAAACCCCCCCCCCCCCAGCCGTAACTTTTCAGCCATACGTCCTATTAATGCGCCGAGTATCTCAAAATGTTCGCCGTGGTCGAATTACTATAAAAAAGTCGTTTACATACAACAAAAATTGTTAGAAAATTTTACTGTACTAAGCCTTTAACACTCAATTATTTCCTTTTTGCGCTATTTTTTTCGATTCAAATGTACTGTAGCCTTATTCTACAGAGCAAGTGCTACATTTTGATACTATTGACAGCTCTGTAGGGCAAAAGATAGCCGAAATACGAAAATTCACTTTAGACCAGGAAAAATTAACTAAAGAAAACCCAGACTTATAATTGTTATAAAAATTTTTCTAACAATTTTTGGTGTATGAAAACAACTTTTCTATAGTAATTCGACCACGGCGAACATTTTGAGATACTCGGCGCATTAATAGGACGTATGGCTGAAAAGGTACGGCTGGGGGGGTTTCCTAGACTTGAGCCCCATCTTTTTGCAGCAACCCGCGGCCCGCCGGAAGCACTTTCTCAAGTTCATCGACCTCGGCCGCTCGAACAAGCTGTTCCGGCGGTTTCTGGTGATGGAGCTCGCCTCACTCTCGCTGGGCACCATCCGCGAGATGGGGCTAGGCGCCACCGCCGACAAGTTCAGGTGGCTGCATTCCAGGGTGCTGGATTTTTTTTTGAAGATCAATTTTTCCGATATGTTACAATTCGGATAAGCGGGGGGGGACCAACTTTTTTTTGTCGGCCCTGGTGGGGATAGTAACCAAATATAAAGTGTTTTCACATTGTTTTTAGCAACATTTGAGCCTATTTGAATCGGAAACTTTTGAAAAAGTTAGAAAAACGCTTGAAAAAGTCGAAAATTTGGTCAATTTTGGACCTAAAATTAATTTTTTTAATTAAGTTTTGTAAAGTTTTTATGTTTAGGAATAGCTATAAACAATTTAGAAACACTTCCACTATTTATATAACAAATATAGGCTTGGGCGGAAACAAGTTCGGTTTCCCCCCCGCCTAAAATCCCCCCCCCCGCTTATCCGAATTGTACCTCCGATATAAATCGCGAAAGTGTCTTTAAACTGTATTTTACTATCCCTAGCCGTAAAAACTTTGCAAAATTTTATGCAAAAATACAAAAAATATCGCCTTCCCACGAAAAAAATGGCAGTTTTTTTACCAAAATTTCGACTGTTTGAAATGGTTTTGAAAGTTGTAGAAGTTTTTCTAGTTAAAATTAATTTTATGTTACTAAAACAATATGGAAATGCGTCCTATCAGGTTACTAGACATTTCTAGATTCTTACAAAAAGTTTGCCCCCCCCCTCCCGATAACGCGAAAGAACCAAATATAAAGCATTTGATGACACTTTACACAATTCTTAGGTAAAATGGCGTATCAAGAATTATGAAAATTCTCAGAAATTTTGACGGTATCGTCAAAAATGTAGAAAAATGAACAAAAAATGTTGATTTTCAAAAATTTTAGAATTTTTTTGTAGCTTGTAGCATTCAAAATCTAACAAAAACGTTTTTATGATCAACAGGTATAGACGAAACACAAATTAGTTCCCCCTGCTAAATCCCCCGCTAACAGACCAGTACCGGGATTTGCCTCCTCGCGCCCAAGAGAACGACGCCAAACCACGCTTTTTGCAGCCCGTCCACCTCTCTGCAGGTCGCCAAGCAGCTGTTGCAAGGGCTTTGGGACCTGCACGACGTCGGCTACATTCACCGCGACCTGAAGTTGCAAAATACGGCCGTCGGGTTTGGAGAGCGCGAGAAGATCGTCTACCTGCTCGATTTTGGCATCGGACGGCGGTGGTGTGAGAAGGAGAAGGATCCCCACGGGAAGCACATCCACCGGTAACGCTAGGAAAATGTTGAAGTGCTCTCATCGATCCAATTCCTCAAAGAATCGCTGCTAGCCTGCCCACTCCATCCCCTCCAATTTCTCAAAGAACCTCTGCTAGCCTGCCTCCTCCATCCCCTCCAATTCCTCAAAGAATCTCTGCTATCCTGCCCCTCCATACCCTCCAATTCCTCAAAGAATCTCTGCTAGCCTGCCCCTCCATCCCCTCCAATTCCGCAAAGAACCTCTGCTTGCCTGCCCCCTCCATCCCCTCTAATTTCTCAAAGAACCTCTGTTAGTCTGCCCCTCCATCCCCTCCAATTCCTCAAAGAACCTCTGCTAGCCTGTCTCCTCCATCCCCTCCAATTCCTCAAAGAATCTCCGCTAGCGAGCCCCGGAAACGTATCATAAAAAAAAAGCCCAACCATATTCAAAAGCACATCCTTCCAGACGCGAGCGCATCTTTGCAAAGCAGATCGGCACGAATAGATTTCTATCGCGCAACTGCCATCAAGACAAGGACCAGTCACGACGCGACGATATTGAGGTGCGGTCATTTTTCTGAGTGCGAAGTATTGGTTCTCCCCCCCCGTTAACAAGGAAGCACCCTGATTTTCGGAAAGGTGGTTTTCGACAATACGGGATAGTACTCTTCCCGTTTATCGAGAGCGGGGAGGCAGAGGAGAGACAGACGAGGGAGAGAGAATTCATCCTCGAAATTTTCCGAAAATCAATTTTTTTTAAACATTAAAAAGTGCTTTTCGGAACTCTGAGTTTCCGAGATGTGAATGTCGCCGATTGGCGGGCTAGCAGCGATTATTGGGGACATTTTCGAAATTATTGTTACAGATCTGGCTCTACGTGCTGCTCGATTTGTACCTGGGAGGGAAGTTTTTTATTCGGCGGTTCGAGCCGGGGCTGCCCACGTGGAAGGTGCGGATGTTCAGCAGCGATCCTGAAGGTGGCCGGGGGCGTTTCTTAGGGAATATGGTCGTCGCGAAGGGCAACGCGGTCGAGCCATCCATCGGTTCTTTCCCATTATCGGGGGGGGGGACTTTTTTCCTAGCATCTAATTTCAGGGTGGCCGTACGGATTCCCTAAAGAATTTCACCTGATATGCGTGTGGATCGACGCGCTGCAGTACGCCGATCAACCGCCATATCAGAAGATTATGGTTTGTTTATCTGTCTCTCTCGCTCTCTCTTTCACTAACTCTCTCTCTCTCTCTTTTTGTTTCTATAGCTTTCCTCTCGCAATTCGGTTCTGAACTGTTAGCGGGGGGAACCAAATTTTTCTCTGTGATTCGCTATGGCCCTATAAAAATATGAACCATTTTTATAGCCTTTTAGATAGTTTTTAGGTATAAAACACCATAAAAATAATAAACTTTTTTTCGAAAATTTTTGACTTTTTGATCAAAAAGGTATGAAAAATGACTCAAAAAGATAGAAATTGTCGAATTTTCCCCCATTTAAAAACATATTTGATAGCTTTCTAGCCGTCAAAATCCCCCGCTAACAGTCCTATACCAAAGTCATGAAAATGCGTTGCAGGACCACGTGGATCATGTGGCGGCCGTCTACAAGCTGGACATGAACGAGAAGCTCGACTGGGAGGGCAAGATCACCGACGAGCATCGCTACGGAGCCATCAAGAAGACCGTGGAAGAGGAGGCGGAGCGGCGGCGAAAGGCTGAAGAGGAGAAGGGCCTCATCGAGGAGGAGAAGCGCCGCAGCGAGGAGGAGAAGCGCCGCATCCAGGAGGAGAACAAGCGCGTCAACGACAGCGAGCCCACCGAGCCCGATGAGCTGGAGAAAAGGTGCGCGGTTGAAATGGGGGAAAACCCAGAAATTGCCCCTAGACCCTAGAGAACTCGGCTCTGGACTGTTAGCGGGGGGAGTGGGGACTATTTTTTGATTACTAGAAAGTAAAACAAGTTTTTTTCAAACTTTGAAAATTCATAATAACCATTTCAACATTTTTTGGGCCATTTTCATACCATTTTGACCAATAGTCAAAAAATTTCGAAACTTTTTGTAATTTTTATAGCGTTTTTTGATCTAAAAACTATGTAAGATGATATAAAAATGATCTATATTTTGTTATGGGACCGTAGAGAATCACCGGGAAAAATTACTCTCGATAACTCTAGAAAGGGGAAAGAAGAAGAAGAAGGAGAAGAAAAGAAAGAATCAAACCCTTGAGAATTTAGGAGAAAAGATCGGCTCAAGGACGAATTCGGCTGACGTCGTCGCCCCGCGGCACACCCACCGATTAACCCATTATCATCAACAAATGAAGCTTATAACAAACGAAATCATCGATTTACTCGCCCCTTCTTTCACCCACATTGTCTTTTATGTTTTGAGTTACCGTTTTTCTTATTTATTAAGACTCATTGGTATCATGGTCAGATCAGAGCTGATGGTGCTCCAGCTTTTGTGAATAAAGTTTACGGCAAAATGGCGTTGCGAACGCACGACAAACGAAGTGCAAAAAAATGACCGCAAAGATCCAAAAACTAGCACTTTCACCGCTCATTCGATACCCGCGAAAAAGTTGCACCGAACGTCAGCAAGTCCTAATCGTCGAAACTAGACAAAACTAACTTCATTTATTTTTATTTAGTTATTTTATTCAGATTTTGGACGTTTCTTCTCGAAATTGCGCCCGCCACCGCTACGCGACGCACCGTGAAACGGACGAGAACGGTGCGCATTTGCGTGAAACTTCCAATTTCCTCCGACTGTTTTTCTTTTTTTGCCACCCGTTTTTACTTTGCGATTTCCCGCTTTTTATTTATCAAAAACTCTTTCTTTTTTTTCCCATCTACGTTCCTTTTTCTCGGCGGACGCGCTGAGCTATAAATTATTGGGCGCTGTTTCGGGATCCGGGTCCCAGTCAAATCTTGACTTTTTCTAGCGCAGTCATGTGCGCTGATGTCGAAAAAACTATCCCAAACCGCGAAAGTTCCGTTTTTGGGGCCCGGATGCCGAAATAGCGCCAAATCGTGGAAAATCAAACTGGACCCGCGAAACCTAAATAGCACCGCTTTTCATTTTGCACCGTCGCCGCAGCCCGACCGCTCTTTTTGCTATTTTGCCCCTGATACTATCCTTGGGGTTTGCACCTATGCGTCCCGCTGCTTTTCATCATACATGATTTTCTGGCTTACATCCTGCACGGTATTTCCTTCTACGTAAGAGGTGCAAATTGTTTTCGAATTTCTGTCTTTTCTCTTTGTCTCTAATACTCTATACAATCTTTTCAGATAAAGCTCGGATGGAGGCACGAAGGAAGCATAAGCTGCCGATGGATGACCTCGACTACAACAGCCCGGACGGCATCAAGAAGATGATGAAGTCCGTGACCTATCACGGTCTCCAGCAAGTTGGCTTTTTGGCTTTGCATTAATTTGCTTTTAGATTTTGAAGTGGAGGGGAATCGTGCCGATGCGCTACTTCAAGAAGCAACACCTGATGACCGGCGGCCCAGCCGGAAGCGTCACCGGCTACACGCTGAAGACGTCGGATGAGGCAGAACAAACAAACGTCTGCATGCGCTTCCGCGAGAAGATGAAGGGCCTCTCGCAAGTCATTGACGACGAAGTGCTACAGGTTTTTGAACGTACGGTTTTATTTTATCGAATTTAGGAAGCTAGCCTCGTGGTCTCCACCAACAGGCAGGATATCTACGATGCCGCCGAAGTCTACACGTTCACCTTCCGTTACGGCGATGAGTCGGCAATGGAAATGAGGTGAAATTGTTTACTTTGATTGGAATTGCTATTTTTTAGTAACAGCGCTGGCGGATCTACTGGTGTGGGCGTCGGAGCCAAATCCGAGGACGTTGCGAAGTTTATGTTCGACTTGATGATCCTCTGCCAATCTACCAATGCGCTCCCGAACCCGATTGGGACCCTGCAGCTGCGGCTAGTTGGACCACAGGGTGGGTTTTGATCTGAAATATTTGTTGCTATCTTTTTGGAATAAACTGGATTTTTTTTTCAGACCAGCTCAACTTCGCGCTCAACCACTACACTGAGCAGCCGACCCCTTACAAGTTCGGCCACCCGCATGTGCTCGACAACTTCCAACTCGGGCAGATACGCGCAGAGGGTGCATCGTAAGGAAAGCTCTTATTGGCTTCGATAAATTCACATTTTAGGCTTGGTCTAAACCTGCGCAGCTGCCAAGTGACCGACAAAATCGAATTGGAGTCGCGGATGAAACGCCAGCACGATGAACGGCTCAGCAACGTCAATTCTACCATGGGCTCGATCGACATCCAGCGAACTATCGCTCAGGTGCGAATTTTACCGTTTTGTTCATTGTTTTTTTAGTCGCAGTTCGACGGCATCCAAGTGCTTTCGCCTGCGTTGAAGAAGTTTGCCATCAGCAACCCAGCCGCCGATGGTAAGAAGATTTTTGACAGTTTTTCACTATTTATTTATTTTTCTAGATGGCGCGACGACTACCTACACCGGAACGGCCTCCCGTCGCAGCGCCGGAAGCAACGACTCGCAGCCCAAGCAACGCAGCCGCCGCTCGCTGCGTGCCAAATGAATCTGTGGTTATTTATTGTTGTGATTTGTCTTTTTTAATTTTCTGTGAAATATAGCCTTGTAACCCATTTCTATTGTTGCCTCGTTGTTAATTTTTCGACGCTTGTATAAACAATTTTCCCGTTTTTTACTGCCATTGTTTCCAAGCAGCGTTTCGACGCCTTGATTATCAAATTTCGGTGCTCCAGGCTATCGCGAGGCGAGTATTCAGGGTTTTTTGTTCAGCTGATGCCAGTCTTTACCTGCAATCTTGTTTGGGGCGTCCGCCAAAAAAACTTAAATTTCTTGCATTTTTTGTCTTATCCCCCCCCGCCCAGCCTACATATCCATTTTCATCATCGTGCTGACCCGAGACATAAGAATAACTTTTTTTATAGTTAGTTCTACCTGCCCCGCGTGTCGATGACTCTCCCGGACGAGCCTGATGTGACCCCGGCCACCGCCGTCTCGACGAACAGTGTCCCGGGTGCCGTCGCAAATCCTCCTCCTCCCGCCGCCCTTCCAGGACGTCCCCCGGCTGCGCCACTTCCAGCCGCTCAGCATCCGCCTCAGCCTCGTGAGTTTATTGCGTTGTTTTTAGCTCAGATATTTCCAATATTTTTTTGGTTGGTTCGCAGTATCGGGGCGAAGGAGACCGAACTTCCGTCTATATGTCTTTTTTAGGGCTTTTAGTAAAATATAAATAGATATTTCAATTAGAACTCTAATTACTAATCTTACTAATTTGGTAATTTTCCAATTCGAAATTTTGTAAGGTTGGGAATTTCGGTCGAACAATCGCTATTTTTATATTTATTCATAAAAATTTGAAACAGTTTGTCCCACCTCGATAATGCGCAAGAACCGTTTTTTTTTGTCCTCCGACCTAACTTACATCCTGTTTTCAGAGCCTAACGCCGCTGCTCCTGCCGCCGTGCCACCACGTCTACACCCACAACAAGGCCCAGCACCACCTCGATCGTCATAAGTGTTATTGTTGTTCGGGTCGCTCTGTTGGCCCCCGTAGTCCCAACTTTCAGCCATAGGGTCTATTAATGCTTGCAGTATCCCAAAATCTGTGCCGTGACCGACTTACTGTAGGAAATTATTTCCCTACATAAAATTTTTCGAATTCCCTCACGATTTTGCTGTTAGGTTTTTGAAAATTTTTGGCTACGGTTTACTTTACCCCCCCCCCCCAGCCGGAAGTTTTTGGAACTTTTTTAAAGGGATGCCGACGGCATAGTCAATCGGTTACGCGCGGAAAAGAAAATGTCTCTGCGCCTTTCCCCTGGGGCGCTCTCTCCCCCGTTGGCTACTTGCCAGTTGATGAGGGGGGATCGACACATGCCGTCGGCAGCCCTTTAAACTCTTAAATTTTATGCAAGGAAATATTTTCCTAAAGTAAATCGGTCACGGCACAGATCTTAAGATACTTTAAGCATTGACAGGTCGTATGGCTAAAAGTAAGGGCTACGGTGGTCGGCTAGAGTTTCTTGTTATTTTTGTGATAAACGGGTGATTTATATCTTGTGTTTATCGATGAGCCGTGCATATCAGTAATGGATATTTTGTTTTTTGCTGCATTCGAATCAACGGATTTGATATCACAATCGTGGGAACAACGGTAATTGGCAGTAAATATTGCCTGAATGCGAATCTGTGGCATACGTTCCTCAGTCGGCGTTAAGAAATTGCGAGTCATCTTCTCTTTGGAGGCTTTTGCGCGTGAACGTATGTAGTAGATCTCTCTGATGCATCTGATCTCTTTTGCTTTAGTTGAAGAAAGGGTGATTGTTTTAATTGATTGTAAGCGATGAAATGATGCCCTCTACTCCGCTTGCCTAATGTTGTTCGCGGCGTTTCGTTTTCTGGCCCATTCGCGAGCAGCCTCTTGGTGTATCCTGCATCCTTGTTGCGCGCACCTACACAGAAAATACCGTAGCCGCCCGGGGTTTCAGTGTGCCAGAAAATAGCTCTACTTTTAGGCCAAGACGGATAGTAAGTAAAAAATTATGGAAAATTTCGTCTTTTGGCTTGTTCGGCGGTTAGAAATCTTCTACAACATTGATTTCGCAATTTTCGGGCTGATTTTTGAATTTTGGACACTGGCTGGATGAAAAACAAGCGCTCAGGGGCCGCCGCAGGGCGAAAATGCCATGTTTGTTTTATCTATAGTTGACAACGGGCGTAATACTTGCGAAACTAGCGATATAAAAGCTTCGGAACTATGAAATATTGTTTAGGAGCTTGAAATTATATTAGAAAGCGTGCTTAACCGCCGGCGTGGTTTTTGCCTATTTTTCGGCATTTCTTTTCCCATTTTTCTTTGTACTCAATTGAGGCGACGATTATTTTATCTTTTTTTGCAGCAATGGCAGCATCCTTCGAAGAGTTGAGCAACCTGACGAACGAGGAGCTGTGCTCGGCGCTGAAGGAGGCGGGAATCACGCACGGGGCTGTCGGGGAGACTACGCGCAAAATCTACATCAACCGGCTGATGAAGCACTTGGGTCAGGATGTCTCGATGATGGTCGACTCGAACACGCCGGTCGCGTCGCGTAGATCTGATACGTCACCGAAGCAATTGACGCCGACTCGGTATGCTTCTGGGTTTTTTTCGTTATGGGAGCTTTTAATTATTGAAATTCAAAAATTACTGCTCCCTGCTGACACAGCAACATCGAAATTTTCTTTTTATTTTGGTCTGAAACCTTGGCAATTCCTTTTTTCCAGCGAACGAGGCAGCCCGACGATCAGCTCTACGCGATTGTATCCTGATCTCTCGCCCTCGTTGAAACACCGCTCGGGCACGGCCAGGTCGCCTTCAGAGGAGGAGAACGATCTGGAAAGCGATCAAGAAATGCACGGCGAAGAGAGCTTCCGCGTCATTCGTACCACCGACTCGCGAGCCGCACAGGCGGGCGGCTTCTCGTTCGGCCGGCTCTTCTTCTGGATCATCCTGCTGAGCATCATCGCCGTGTTCGTTTACTACTTTGCCATGAACGTGGAGAAGCTCAACGCCGCCCGCAGCAACCAGGACGAAATCTAAACGCCAGACCGAAATTCTCTTTCCGCCCCCTATTTATGTGTTGTGAAATTGTGCGTCCATATCCCATTCAACAAGCATTTTGTCCGTGTCCCCCCAAGATTGTGCTCACACCCTTACAGTCACCGTGCCCATTTATCTTTATGTATTACCCCAGTTTTCATTGATTTGCTCGTCATTTTTCATTCGTACACTCCCGGTCGAAAGTTCATCATAAATAGACTTGACTTTGCGAAGTTTGCAACTTGGATTCCAACAGTCGGCCGACTGTGCTATACTTGCATACCGAGAAGTTCGTCATGCTTAGGTTTTTCGGTTTCGGTTTTGGAATTTGGGAGCGTGGCTTTTTTCGAAGCTTGTACTAACATCGGGCTTATTATTTGGATCTGTTTGAGGCATCAGCCAGCATCCTAAGCGAAATATTAGCTTTCAGACAAGCCTAGTGTAGCCGAAACATCGCTGTCTAAATTAGTTGACCGAAAAAATGGAAGAACGCCAAGTGGCCCCTCCAGTTTGCATAGTATTCCTTATTCTGGGAACAAGGATTTTGATGGTCGAGTATAGCGCGTGAATTTCAGAGTCGGCCAGCGCGATGGTCTTGGCCCGGATACAAAAAGTGCCGCTCAAAATATGGGAGCACAAAAAGAAGTCGGCCGTCGCCGTCGGGTTACTCTACTGGGCAGGAAGGTAAAACTTTGTGATCGCGTCGAGATAACTAAATTTTTTGCAGTTGGGTCGAACGCCGTGTCCGGAACAGTCGGCTACGCGCGCTTTACGCGGCCGAAGCACTGAAGTTCGGCGAACAACCAATCTCGGCAGAAGACCGGTGTCGTCGCGTCCTCGTCCTTGCCAACGTTCACGCAAATGAGCGCAGCAGCTACGACGATTTCAAAGAAAATGCGCTCCCACTACTCCACCTGGCTGGTTTGCAGGTATTCACCATTGACACTTTTCTAGCTCCTAGTTTAGGTTAACATTATCAAGGCGGAATCTGAGGCCCAGTTGGAAGCGTTGGCCGCGGCCGTGGACCACGAAGAAGCGGACGCCCTATATGTCGTCGGCGGCGATGCGACGATTGGCAAGGTGTTGACGGGCATGCTGAGAAAACGCGAAAACGTCATTCTGCCGATTGGTTCGTGATTTTCTGCGCTCTTGAATTCCCTTCCTAGGCGTGTTTCCGGCCGGCTACGACAACTTGACGCTGAAGCGGCTCGTTCCTGAAGTTTTTCGGCAAGAAGAGGATATACGAGCGCAATGTGAGAGTGCCATGGCCCTGGTCGAGAATATACGACGGCCGGTCCGCCCTTTCAAGGTAATTCTGTTTCAGAAGCCGTAGGGCTTTGTTTAGGTTGAAATCGATGGTTCGGTGGAGAAGCCGCTGTTTTCGATTGGCGATGTCGGCGCCGGCTGGTTCCGCCACATTGAAGATCGCCGCAAGAAGCTATGGTATTTCGGCGGGTTGAAGAGAAGATGGGCGTATGGCTGGGAAATGTTGAAGCGATCGCCGGAGCAGATGGAAGTGCAGGTATCTTTTTGTGTTTAAATTTTGGATAATGAGTAGCCTTTTTGGTCAAAAATTTTCCTTTCCGTTTTTCTGGGCATAAAAATTCCCTTCGCCTACCTTGTAATCGCAGTTTTAGGCTTTTTGGCACCTAGGAGGCCGGTAGAATTGTCAGAAAAACCATCATTCAGCGAATGCCTTTGCGAAAAATTCGACAACATTCCTTTGCATAATTGCTTTCTAGATCGATTGGGAAGAATACTGCTCCGGCTGCAACAAGTGTCGCGAAGCGCCCCCCTCGGTCATCGTCCCCTGGCGGTGGTGGCACATGTTCACCGGCGCACCACGCTTCGTCCACGACCAGCCCAAGAAGGACTTCTCCGGCATCGTCAATGAAAATTGCGGCCTGACCCATAGCACAACGGTAAATTCAAGGCGTACAACTTGTATTTCGCTTTAGGCAACTGGGAGTGAGCTCATCCTGTCCGGCGTGCAAGAAAATGACGATGAGCGGATGCGGCTTCGGATGCGCGTCGGAGGCACGGGCAGCCGCCTGGACACGATTCGGGAAGGCTGGAAGAGGGCGGCCGCGGACCTGGTTGGTTTTTACCGGCCTTGTCGTTTTTGCGCTGGAGCTGGCCTTCTGATTTTCTCAAATCTGTCGAGCTGGTAGTTTTATCCAAATTCCATCCTTTTGGCATGAAAATTGCGTTAGAACCCGTTTTTGCAGTCCCGAATGAACGGAAAGAGCACATTTTAATGTTGAGTTTGATCACGGCTAGCTCTGGTTTGCTGAATGTTTCTAAACTCGGTTAAACTGTCCGTTCCAGGTCCACGAATCCAACACCGTGAACTTCTACGCGGCCGACGTTTTCGGGCGCGCCTTCCAGTTCCAATTCAACCGGATACCCGAGTTCGTGCGGCGCCTCTACGTGTCTTCAGACGCAACGAAGGAAGAGGTGGAAGAAGGCAGAACTCGTTTCAACATCCGCGCCCTCGACAACAAAATCGAATTCTTCCTGCCGAACCGCTTACGTTTTGATGCGACTGCTTGACTTGTGATCTACTTGTATAATTTGTCTTTCCACCTAGTAGTCATCTCCCTAGTTAGCGCCTAGTCTAGAAGCTGTTTTATCCTAATTTCCTGATGTATCGTTTTCTTTACGGGTCTTTCGTTGCGCCTCGGAAATGTGCTTCGATGAATAAACATTTTGTTTCACGGGCTCGTATCCTTGGATTATTGCGGATATGTGAACCGAATTGCTGCCGTTTTTGTCGTGAAATGTGACTCTGAGTGATTTTTTTGTCTGCTATAGGTTGTCCTCGACAGATGGGCAAATTTCGGCATCGCATAGGGCCGTCACGCGGCACGAAACTTCAGCGTGGACACATGTGAGTTTTCTGGCTTTTGAGCTAGCGGCGATCGGCGTATCCTGGTGAATTTGTGCTAATTTTCACGTTTAGTAACGACAGCAACCCGGTGAAAAGACGGCATCGTGATGCCGCGAACTCGGCGCGACGGGCGGAGCTTGTGCCCCTCGTCCCCGTCGACGAGCTCGAGGACTACGGCCAAGAAGGCGATGAAAAGATGCTCGACGGCTTGAACATGGTATGCAACTTGCTGAGCATTTTTGCCGACCAAGACGACCGTGTATTATTAATTTGTTTTATTTTAGGACAGCATGTCGTTGGGAAACCCATTTCCCTCGAGCGCGGCGTCGATGATCTCTGAGGGCGGCATGTCGAAGATGACGCGCTACACGGGCTTCACGAGCTGCACGAACCAAACTTTCGCAGCGGTGCACCGCGTCTGGAAGTCCGGCTCGACCCTGCAGAAGGAGGTCCTGGCCGTTCTTTCCGCGGTGGCCGAGGTTATTAAAGAAAAACAGGGTATGCCCCATTTCTCCTGCCTCTACATATTTGCTTTTAGGCAACGAATCGGACGTCGAGTATTTTGGCGCGCTGCTGACGACGCTCGAGTCGACGCCAACCTCTGTAAGCCCTTCTTCCGAGCCGCTTATCCTCCTTTCCAGGAAATCGATCGTTCCGCCGCGACAACTTATCTGCTACATTTGATCGTGAAGAAGGTTTCCCGCGAAGTGCTCCAGCGGAATTTCAGCGAAACGGTGAAGGTAAGGTCTTGAAATAGCTTCCTTGAATGTACCCCGGGTTTCAGATCCTCGCCCAGGCGCTGATGCAGATGACCGGCGACGAGCAAGATGGCGTCGCCTGCAAATTTCTGATAATGACGCTCGGCGTGGTGCTCCGAGCCCAGCCGAGCACCGTCTGGCTGATACAAGGAAATCGGTATATTTCTACGATTTGAAGAAGAGAAAGTCTTTTTTTCTAGCGACCTCGTGATGCTCATAGCGTCGTTCTGCACCCATTCAAAGCCTCGTGTGCGAACCGTCGCTCGTCGGGTGGTCAGGTGAGCTGTGAATCGTGCCATTACAACTCTGTTTTAGGGGTCTACTCACCGATCCCGTTTCGGCCGTGGACAATGGTTTGCACGCTGCGGCTGGCCAGGTCGGGGAATATGTTGACGAGCAAATTCGGGCCTGCTTAGGTGAGTTTTAGTTTTTCTTCCTGACAAACCCGGTTTAGACAGCAAACAAGACTCGGCCGACCTGATCCGCTACTTCTGCCTTCTCGAGGGCATCATGCACAAGATGCCGGCCCGGATCTTCAAACAGCTCGCGGAGGGCATTTTGAAAAGTGTGGCACTGGCCAACTCGCAGGTAATTTGCCCATTTCTAGGCTAATTTTCCGCACCTAGGTGAAATGCGCGGCCCTGCAATGCCTCTACCGAGCCCTGCTACAACAGCCATCCGAGGCGGCACTCTCCGTGGAAATCAACGCGCTTTTGGTGGGTTTTTGGCGTCTGAGAAGGGTCGTACCAAAACGAAGTGATACCTTTCGAAAGCCCAGAAACCAGCGAGTTTGGTTCGATCTTAATAACCATGTTTTAGCTAAACCCGTGATTTTATAGATTTTTTAAACGTGAATAAGCCGCTTCTGCATCAGATTAGCGGCAACTTTCGGTCGTGTTACTGTTGAAATTGTGACAAAAGCCGATATTTAGCCCGAAAAATATGAAATTTTCAAAAAAAAATGGCTTTTAAAAGTTTCCTGTTCGAAAACCATGGTTGTGATTGTGGAGGTGAACTCGCGGTTTCAAGGGCTTACGAATGGTATAACTAACGCTCCGACTCTATCATTCCTGGTCGAGTTAGCGGGGTGTCTTTTTTATCGGGACACCACGTGAGGTACCATATTTTCATTCTTAGATATCCTCCCTGCGCTCGCTGGCCCCATCGCCGTCTGATGCGCCCGTTTGCGCTTTCTGGCTGCAGGCTCTCGTCGAAGCGCACGTATGTCTGACTTGCAAGGACAAGCGCCGATCGTGTGAATTGATGCCCGAGACGCTCGAGGAGATCACCAAGGCCTTCCAAGTGGCCAACAACGAGCTGTGCCAGGTTATCGTCCAGGTTGGCCTCCGTTTCTAGGTGTAATTCCGTTATTTAGGTGCTCAACCGCGTCATCGAGCGCTGTATCGAAGACGAGACCGAGGCGGCGCGGAAGTTGCTCGCCCTGCTGGAAGCGTCACTGACTGGCTTCTCGGCCACGATCTGGAAGTACATCTTCAAGTCGATGACGTACCTTTTCCAGGTGAGAGAGTTTTCAGTTCTCTTGTGCGTAGTCATTAATGAGGGGGTACCACGTTTTTTTGTATATGGCTAGAAATATCGAGTACACTTTCTACTTTTGGTTTTTCAGATTGCCGGCCCGGCGCTGTGCGCTGACGAATTGGTGAGGACCCTGCGCACCCTGGCTCGATTGCGCGAAGAAGATGGGTGCAGCTGCAAGCAAGAGATCGATTTTGTACGTTTCTGTACCTGATATTTAATTGATTTTTGCATGGCTTATCCATCTTTTTAGGCCATCGGTGCCGCCGTGCGCTACATTGGCGTGCAGCACGTCGTGCAAGTATTACCCCTGCAGATCGACCCCGACGCCCCCGTGCTGCCGCTCGACTTTAGAAGGTTTGAGCTTCCCAGCTGGTGCTTTAATCAACATTATTTTAGGTCTTGGCTGCTGCCGGTTTTCCGCGTCAACATCCGCAACGCACCGCTGGAAATCTTCATAAAATACTTCATGCCGTTGGCGACCAAATTGTACAGGTTCGTGCAGCCATTTCGTTTTCAAATATCCTTGTTTTCAGGAGACTCGACTCGTTGGAGAAGGTGACGGCCAAGGCGTACCACATCATCCAAGCGCAGCTCTGGGACTTGCTCCCCGCATTCACCGGGTCGGCGTCGGATTTCGAGACTGGTTTCCCGCATATTGCACAGGTATAACGGGGGTTTCGTTGATCAACTCCAAACATTTAGATGCTTGGCGTTGCCCTGAACGAGCGCAAGGACCTGCGAAGCACGCTTCTGACGGGCATTCGCTCGGCGCTTTCGATTCGCCTTGGCGCCGGATGCACCGGAAAGTCGACGCGAAGTAATGTCAAGGTGATTTTTGCGCGTATTCGTGACGCAGAACTTTTCAGATTCGCCAAGAACTACTTGCCGATCCTCTTCAACATGTACGTGAACGACGGCGAGGTCGACGATGGACATGAAGCGCAGGCCGTTCGGCTGTCCGCCCTCTCCGCCATCCAGGCCTACGTCGAGGCGGCCCCACAAGAGCTCTTGGCCCAATACACGCGAAGTGCCATCCAGCGATTCGATGTACGAGTTTTCCCAGTTGGTTTTACTAAGTTTCGCCTAGGCTTCGCGTGAAGTCTCGATGGACGCCTCTGACGTGGAGAAAAAGAAGGAGCAGCACAAGCAGAAGGACGTCCGGAAGCGCATTGTCGACATCATGATCGCCATGGTCAAGACGGCGTCACCCGCGGAAATCCAAGAGGTGTGTTATGAGTTAATGAGGCTTCATGGAATTCACACCGGACCCGGCCTATTTTGCGCTGATTTAGAAATTGTTTTGCAAGTCGGTAAAACGGCCAGACTAATGAATTTTTTTGTTTTCTCGCTTTGCCTTTTGGTATTTTTTCGCGCTGAGAAGCTTCATAGCTTTTTAAAATATGGTCTTTTCGCGGTTTTTAAAAACAGCATCGGAGCGAGCGCAAAATTCAGCGCATTATAGACTTGGTCCCGTTTGGAAACTCGATTGTCAACCTCTCCAAAATCCGCTCCTTTTTAGATCTTTGCGCTCGTCACCCCGTTCTTCGACAAGCCAAAGGATGGGCCCATGCAAAAGAAAGCGTACCGTGTCCTGGTGGAAGTGCTGAAGCGACGGTAACCATGCCTGCCTCGCGGTTTCTAGAATCGATTTTTAGATGTGAACCCGACGTCGCGCAACTTTTCGCCGATGACCAGCAGAGGTTACTGGCGACTCTGTTGAAATCAAGTGACGCGGTGGCCGGTGTGTTTTTCAGCGTCTTCTTTGAACTTTTTCCGTCTAGGTCCCGCCCGCTCTTCTCACCAAGAGGCTGTCGATGCCGTCCTCTCGTCCACCGATTCCTACGTAGAGTTGCAGCAGTTTGTGCAAGCCGCCCTGCCGCTGACGGTATTGTGCCATAAACATCTTCAGATTCTGGTTTTTAGGTCCAATGCCTCGAGAAATCGAATTCGATGCCGACTCGTGAGAGCGCCTCGAAATGCTTCCAGCACATGTGCTTGCGGCTGATCGAGCGGGGAGCCGAGGAAGAGTGCGTCCTTTTTGCACGTCCTTTCAGTCATTTATTTTTAGCAAGCGGCCCACCGAGGTGCTGTACACGGTGATCAACGCCATCTACGCGTTGCTGACCCCGAAGGCTGGCCAGCCTGCCATCTCCCTGGAAACAACCCGCGCTTGCCTGGTGGCGCTCAACATCATCGCGCAGAAGCATATCAAGGTAATTGAATCGCGTTTTTGCAGTTGTTTGGATCTTGGCTGTTTTTATTCGTTTCTTCTTAGAAAATTATCAGAGAAAATGTGTATTTAGCTCTTGGACGGCTCGAATTTGGCGCGTCTGGTGGCCCAGGGATGCACAGCCATTGCCGACAGCCGACCGACGGTATGTTTTTTGTTGTTATAGCACGCATATGGTGTTTTGGGATTCTACAAACTTCTTTTTTTCAGGTCCGCGTCCTCGGCATCCGCCTGGTGCGCATTCTCGTCGTCAAGATGCCGCCGGAAATCGCGCTCCACCAACATCGCGAACCAATTCTTCAAGCGTTCTTCGCCCAAGATTGCGACACGGCGACCACCCAGGTTACAACAATTTTGCCGCCACTTTACGTGTATGTTTTGCAGATCCGGAAAGCCAACAAAATTCTGCTCGACGTCGTCCTCGACAAGTTTGGGCAAATGGTCGTCGAGAAGTACGCCACAGACCGGATCGACTGGCAGAAGCAGATCAAGGCGCTGGCGAAGGCGAAGCGAAGGAAGGCGCGCAAGGCCGAGGGCGGAGAGGACGAAAATGATTCCGGGGACGACGATGGGCGATCGGTGGCCGGCTCGCAAGTGTCCGCCAAGACCGCCGGCGCCGACACGATTTTGCAGCTGCTTGAAGACAGTGATGAGGAAGATGAGGTGAGCATTTTGTTTGTTTCCTTAGCGACCGGGTCTAATCTTTGATTTTCCAGGTCGACAAGGAGGAGATGATGGAACGACGCTCGCGCACCGGCAGCGTCTGGCTTCGCGAGGACGCTGACGAGGTCAACGACCTGCTGGACAGGAACATGCTGCTCAACAAGGTGTCCACCGTCGACCCGTCACTGGTGGCCAAGCGGGAGGCCCGGATGGCCGCGCGCAAGAAGGATAAGTGCGGATTCGCCGTGACGAAGGATGGCAAGCTGATCATCGATGACGAGAGTGACGACGAAAAGCCCAAGAAGAAAAAGAAGACTGAAAAGTGGGTCTTTATTTTTACTTTATAGTTATAATTCATTTCCTAATATTTTCTTTCCAGCGTCAATTCTGATGACATCGCCGACGTGATCGGCTCGAAGAAGGGCTCGACGAAGTCAAGGAAAGCCGGCTCGGACGATGAGAGCGACGACAACGAGGAGGAAGATGACAAGAAGTCGAGGGTGTCGCGCGTCTCTCGGGTCTCCGGCGTCTCGCGCAAGAGCACCACTTCTGGATACAAGCCCGGCGGCACCGGCATTCACAGGGATTTGACTCGGCCTATTGCTAAGGTGAGCAAGATTTTTTTGCGCTTTGATTAACTTTCGGATTTTCAGGCGGCCCGTCGACAGAACAAGGCCGGCGGTGACGTGAAGGCGAAGGGCAAGGCGCTCGAGCCGTACGCCTACGTGCCGTTGAAGAAGCTGGGCAAGAAGGGCGCCGCCGGTGCAGCTCAAGAGGTGCGTTTCGTTTTGTTGTGTTCATAAATCTTTCGGCCTCACGTTATCGGGGGAACATCTTTTTCTGAGGTTCCCATTTTTCAAATAAATTAGCGGAGGTGTTTCTACACTGTTTTTTTTTGCTATTCCTAAGCGTAAAAACTTTATAACTTTTGATTAGAAATACAAAAAAAGAAACCGACTTTTCGACCAAAATTTCGACCGTTTAACAGGTTTTAGATCATTTTTCTAGTTGTAATACTACTAAAAAAATAGTATACTTACTAAAAACACGCTTAAAATCCTTCCATTGAAGTTACTAGGCATTACTCATTACTTATACAAAAAGGCCGGTCCCCGTATATTGCAAAATAACCAATTTTTCGTTCCAGGAAATCCGTCGGATGACCGGTCGCAAGCGGAAGATGCGGAAGTGAGCAGCAACGATCCGGAAACCATTCTGGTGCCGTGTAGTTTCGCCAGTTTCGCCCCCGCCTCCATTCTTTCTTCACGTTGTTTGTTTGTTTGTTGATTTTGTTCGCGCGCTAGTCGAGATATTTTGTGGGATCCACTTGTTGTTTTTACTGGATTTCCCCCCTCCACAGGTCGTTATGTTTGTTTTTGTTTATTTGTTTGTTTCTGTTTCTGTTGTTCTTTGTTGTGGCTCGTTGCCAATGTGTTTTATCGCATAAACGTTTCGACATTGCCTTTTGCGTTGCGGTATTTCCTCCCCCGTTGCGACGATAGATATTTATTGCCCTTTACCTGCCAATGGTGGCCGCATTGCAATCACATTTTCCGTTGTCAACAGCGTATCACAAACACGAATTAATGGCGAGTAATTTTTTGTAAGAATGGAATTTGGTATCCGGTTTTTAAGGGGGGGGGCCTCTTTGCTGCTTGAAGTGGCGGCGGGACGCTTTAGCGGCTTCGGCGTGACATCCTCCTGAAATGGCTAGCATTTTGGGTGCTGGACTATTAGCGGGGGAAACCAAATGTTTCCTAGAAATTCTCTACAGTTCTATCTAAGTTGTTTTAATAGCATTTTGCATAGGTTTTAGATATCAAAACCACCTTAAAGATCATAAAAATTTTCGCCAATTTTTGAGTTTTTGGTTCAAAGTGTATGAAAACTGGCTAAAAAACGGTGGTCAAAATCTCCCAGCTAACAGTCCAGTACTTAAATTTGCTATATTTCCAAGGTTTTTGAACTGCCCACTTCTTTTTGGACACCTTCGGCAGCTGATCGTCGTTGTCCTGATTTTCCGTGGCCTCGGTGACGTCCGTCTTTATGCCTCTGCCTTCGGGCTTGGGCTTCCGTTTCGCCGGCTCCTCCTTCTTCGCGTCGTCGTCCTTGCGATTCTTGGCTTCGTTCTCCTTGCGCTTCTTCTCTTCATCTTCCTTCTTCTTTTTCTCCTCCTCTTTCGCCTGAAGACGGGTGGCATTATTTTTGTTATTTACGGGAGTTTTTCGTAAAATTTAGCTATATTTATAACGGCATACAAATTCGAAACTTTTTTGTAGAAATTCAGCTCGAAACTCGATCTTTTTTGGATTTTTTTCAGGAAGATTTGTGAAGTTTTCACGTTTAGTAGTAAAGGCGTCATCGGGCGGACCGAATTTTTTGTATGTGTCTGGAAATAGCTTTTACCTTAATAGCAAATGTCTTATTAGTGTTTTTAGTAAATTCTAAATATATTTCAGCGAGGAAATCTTTCTAAAAACTTATAAAAATTTTCAAAGGGCTAATTTTGTCAAAAACCTCTATTTTGAATCTTTCTTTTTTGTATTTCTGAATAAATTTTGTTAGCTTTTTCCTTTCGGAGTAATAAAAAAACTGGTTAACTCGCCTATTAATATTAGAAAAAATTGGATCCTTGGAAAAAGTTGGTTCCACCTTTTCCAGTTCCTCCTTGCGCTTCTCGCGATCCTGGGCGGCCTTCTTCTCGCGTTCGTCGCGTTCGGCGAGCAGCTTGGCCTGGCTTTTGATGAGGCCGAATCGGTGGTCGTCCGTGATCTTGCCCTCCCAGTCGAGCTTGTCGTTCAGGTTCAGCTTGTGCACGGCGGCCACGTGGTCCACGTGCTCCTGGAAACAGCGAAATGATTCGGCTAAAAAATCTCTTGGTACTAGAGCTAGATTTTGGTTGGTAAGAGTCTAGAAAACCCCACCCCCAGCCGGCACCAACTTTTGTATCTCAGCTGCCCTTTGTGCTAGCGAGCTCTAAAGCATACCAAAATGTTCGCCGTAGGCTAATTAGTAAGACTACATTGCAGTTCAGTCGAAAAAGTAGTGAAAAATAAAAATAAGGAAGGTAGAAAAGTTGAAAAGTCGGCTGGGGGGGTTTCCTAGACTTGAGCCTTTTGGTTCTTTCGCATTATCGGGGGGGCAAATTGTTTGGTGTATTAATCTAGAAATGCCTAGAAACTTAATAGGCTGTATTTTCGTCTTTTTGATCGAATAATCGATATTTTTTTGGAAGGCAAATTATGGTAGAGTTTTTACGTTCAGAAGCGAAAAACGTTTTAGAAACCCGTGCTAATATTTAAGAAGTTCATTCCTAAGAAAAAAATCCACTCCGCCCGATAATGCGAAAGAACCGTTTTTATATACAGGGTGGGTCAAAAAAAAAAAGCCAACTTTGCGCCATATTATCTCGCGAACGGTAGAGAATCGAAGGTACGTTACCATGCCAGAATGCTTAAATATGCTGGGTATGAAGATTTAACACAACTTGATTTTTTCGATTTTTGAGTACGCAACTGTACTATTGACGCGGATTACGACCGAAAATTGTGCGTTCTTGAATGGGTGGTGAGAAAATTCTGATTTTTGGCCCAAAAATCGTTGGCATTTGTAGAAAAATAATGGCCAAATATTAGAATTTTTTAAGCTCCAGTTCCTTTTTAATAAGCAAAACAAATTTCACTATTTTGTATCTTTTGACATTTAAATTCGCAACTCGCTTCAAATACGCTGCCCATGGCTGATCTTTTGCAAATGGTATCTCCGAATGATAATCTTTAGCACAACACCAAATTTTACCTGATTCTATGGTATTTTAATATTGCTTGCTAAAACGTGCCCCAGAGGGATACTGTAGTTTTCCGTTTTCGCGTTTTTCTTTTTATTTTAAGCCGCGATTTCGCTTAAAATTTTATCATTGGTAGACACCAGTAAGGGTCACCTATTGGCCAAAGATCGTGGAGTTCTAGCCATATACCTTCCCAAAATATGCAAAAAACTTATTTTTTAATTTAGCCACGGAAATTTCTAAATATTTTGATGCATCGGACTAAAAACTACTGTTATTTGTTTTGCTGAAAGATTGAAACGTTTCTATGGTGAAAAGAACGAGAAAACGACGATTTTCTGTTTTCTACCGTAACCCGCCTGGAGCGCGTTTTAGCATGCCAAGACAAAATTCCATAAAATGCCGATTTTTCTATTCTAGAATGTTCTCTGGGTGATTCTGAGAACGCAGGCAAAAATGGCTTACTTTCTGTGGTAACTGACAAAGTTATAAGGGAAAGTGGAAAACCCTCCTCGGGGCCCGATTTTGGACCCGAGGCCCCGGGCCGAAAATCAAATTTTCGAAAATGCAAAATTCACCGGATTTTCGTGGATACAATTAAAGCGCGCATCGAACTGTGTATCAGAGCAGAATTCTGGAATGATCTGGCTTAAGTTAATGGTTAATTTTGATTTAAAACCTGAAAATAATGTTTTTGAAAAGCCGACTTTCGGCGCTCTTCTAAATTTGTTTGCCATGAAAAGATTTTGTTTTTGCATGGGTTCTAGTTGACTAGCTCTAGCTGACTGGCTTGGTCTATGCCAGAAAAGTCGGGGCTACTAGAGCTTCGAGAATTTTACGTTGCCTCAAAGTCGGTTATATTTGCACTTTTCATGAATTTCTTTTGAAAGATCGGCTGGCCCAATAAATTTGTAAATATAATTTTAGATGGCGCCCATTAAGTAGTATTAAATAAAATTATGACAATAATTCTAGCCGCGCAAATGAATTTTATAGGCTGGCACAAAAGTCTGCGAAATAGCACGAACGAACCGTTTTGGAGGCGCTAAAAGGCAACCTTCCAAAGGGGTACGGTAGCTAGAAATTGTGTACATGATAGATGGACGCCAGTCCTACACAACCAAGCAAAGCAAACACCGAAATTCTATCTGCAGTTTTAGAAATATTTTTCCAAAGTTCAGTTTCGGGACCCCGAAAAATCCATGACCAGGGGGTCGTTGAAAAACTCGAAAATTCGCGGATCTGAAAAAATTCTTTGATATTTTTGTGGGATTGTATCGAGCCCATAGACATGCTAAAACAGCTTATTTTGAGGTTTCCACCATAGGTTTTTGTAATATTCGAAATTTACGAAATTTCTCCATATTAAATTTGAGCGCGCTATAACTTGCCAACCAGACCTTCGAAAATTCCATAATTCCGGATGTGCGTAGGAGCAGTCCTTAGGTACCTACACTGTAAAAACTGGAAGCATTCGACCACCAGCAATCCCAAAAAATGCAATTGAAGTTTTGCCGGAACGCACATTTTTCGGGTGTCATTTGTATTGATACGTCGCCAAAAATCGAAAAAATCAAGTTGTGTTAAATCTTCATACCCAGCATATTTAAGCATTCTGGCATGGTAACGTACCTTCGATTCTCTACCGTTCGCGAGATAATATGGCGCAAAGTTGGCTTTTTTTTTTTGACCCACCCTGTATTGTTTTTGGCGACTTTACAAATTTTTAGTTTGGGTAAAAACAAAACAATTTTTATTGGCCCGAAAATGTCCAAAATTTCGGCATTTTCAAACATTAGTCCAACGTTTTTTTTTGATGGTTTCCCCTGCTTCAAATACATTTAAAGGGTCTTAAAAATATAATAAACGTGCAAAAAATTGACAGAGGCCATTGGGGGGAATGTGTTCGTTTTCCTACCATAATCTTCTGGTAGGGCGGCTGGTCCTCGTATTGGAGCAGGTCGAGCCACTGGCACACCTGGTAGAATTCGGGCGGGAATCCGGGCAGCCACCCTGCAAGCCAACGAATCGCAGGGCAAAACTATAGATGATTTTGTACTGGTCTGTTAGCGGGGCTCGGGGTTTAGAGGGGGGCCCATATTTTTTCCCAATATTCTCGTACGGCTTTCTAACGAAATATTAACCATTTCCATAGCATTTTACACAGTTTTTAGCTCTAGAAAGCTTACAAAAATTATTAAATTTACAAAATTTTGATTTTTGACCAGAAAAAGTTAATTTTCTAGTTTTCAAAATTTTAAAATATTTATTTGTGGCTTTCTAGCGATCAAAAACTATTAAAAACCCTATAAAAACGCGTACATACCCCCGCCCCTAACAGTCCAGTATCGTCCAGGCTTGCCGGTCCCTTTAAAAAAATACGCGTAGCCCCTACACTCCTTCTTGAAGACCTGCTCTCGGGCGACGAGCACGTTCGGCCCCGGGCACCACCGCTCCGTCCACAGCTCGAAGAGGAAGTACAGCCATGACTGGAATGGAGGTTGGAGGGGGGTAGCAGGGAGAATTTGTGGAAAGTGCTTGCTGGCCGCTTTAGGGAGCTGGAATCTACCTCAACATCGTCGCGCCTCGACAGCTCCTTCAGCTTGAAGCAGTTGCGCGAGCGGTAGGTGACCGCGCCGATGCCGTCGACCGGACCCCGGCGCTCGCGGCTGAATAAATGGGGAATATCGTCATTCTCTCTCGCGCGCGCTCTCTCTCTCTCTCGCTCTCTCTCTCTCTCTCTCTCTCTCTCTCTCTCTTTCTGTATCTCTAGCTTTTCTCTCTCTGTCTCACTCTCTCTCTCGCTCGCTCTCTCTCTTTCTCTCTCTCTCTCTCTCTCTCTCTCTTCTCGCCCTAATAAAACTCACCGCGCGGTGACTTTCCCGCTTGGCGACGTCTCCGTCCACCGCCTGGCCGTCCCGAAGTCGAGCATGTAGACGGTGCGGTCCTTCTCACCGAGGCCGACCGCAAAATTTCGCGTTGACACGTCGCGGTGGATGTAGCCGACGTCATGCAAATCCCAGATTGCCTGCAGCGACTGCTTGGCGATTTGCATCAGGGTGCACAGCCTGAAATTTGAAAGTGAGGCAGGCTAGCAGGGATTCTTTGGGTGCTGGCCTGTTAGCAGCGGGAAATATAATCTCTCATTCTCTCCCCCTCTTTCTTACTCTCCCATTCTCCCACTCTCTCTCTCCCTCTCCTCTCTCTCTCTCTCTCTCTCTGTTTCCCTCTCTCCCTCCCTCTCTCTCCCTCTCTCTCCCTCTCTCTCCCTCACTCTCTCCTACTCTCTCTCTATCTCGCTCGCTCTCTGTCTCCCTCACTCAATCTCACTCTCTCCCACCATCTCTCTCTCTCCCACCATCTCTCTCTCTCTCTCTCTCTCTCTCTCTCTCTGTCTCTCTCGACCTACGTGAATTTGTGATCGGGCAGTACGAGTCTTCTAATATCTTCAAGGCACAGCGACACCAGCTCCATCACCAGAAATTTAATCTTCAGTGCGGTGGACTTGCCGCGGTCGACGTACTCGAGGAAGTGAAGGCGACGTGATGGGGGCACCTGGCAGAGAACGTTTAGGAAAGTCATATGTCTTGCTGGCTCAACTCCGAGGGGCAAGCCAGCAAAGATTATTTCGGAAGTGGCAAACGAGCCGCGACCCTTTAGAAACAAAAGGTAGGCGGTTCCAGGGCAAGCTAGCGGAGACATTTTGGGAACTTGCTTAAGTGCAGTTTACCCCCCCCCCTCCAGCCGACCCCCACCTACCGTATCACGGCTCCATGTTCATCTACAGGTGTGTAAAGTATACCAAAATGTTCGTCTTGCTCTGGCGAGTATTTTGGTAGACTTTACACACCTGTAGATGAACATGGAGCCGGGATAAAAAAGTTGAGTGCCGGCTGGGGGGTAAACTGCACTCTAACCTGGGAATTGTTCGAAAAAAACTCATCTCACCTTCGCTAAATCCATCATGATCTGCACTTCTTGGTGTAGACGGCGCTTGTCTTGTTGTAGCGTCTGCCCCCTCAGCTCTAAAAAACCAGAAGCTTGAAATTATCTCTGCTAGCTTGCCCGTCGTCTCGGACTTCATCGCCGCCAGCTGCTGCGTCTTTTTGTTGCGCACCAAGTAGATGGTGCCGAACCCGCCGCTGCCCAGCTTCCCGGCGATTATGTAACTGAAAAGGGCAATGGTCGGCGATTTTCCGCAAAGAACCTCTGCTAGCACTCCAAGCAGTCGAAAATAGCGGAAAACTCACCAAGCCTTTTCCGTGTCGAACTCGGTGCCGGGCTTGATGACTGGGGGCCCCGGCATACGCGGCGGCTCTCTGAAACGGGTAGACTAGCAGAGATTCTTTGAGGAATTGAAGGGGATGGAGGGGGCAGGCTAGCAGAGATTCTTTGAGGAATTGAGGGGATGGAGGGGCAGGCTAGCAGAGATTCTTTGTGGAATTGGAGGGGATGGAGGGGCAGGCTAGCAGAGATTCTTTGAGGAATTGAGGGGATGGAGGGGGCAGGCTAGCAGAGATTCTTTGAGGAATTGGAGGGGATGGAGGGGCAGGCTAGCAGAGATTCTTTGTGGAATTGAGGGGATGGAGGGGGCAGGCTAGCAGAGATTCTTTGAGGAATTGGAGGGGATGGAGTGGGCAGGCTAGCAGAGATTCTTTGAGGAATTGGAGGGGATGGAGGGCAGGCTAGCAGAGATTCTTTGAGGAATTGGAGGGGATGGAGGGGGCAGGCTAGCAGAGATTCTTTGAGGAATTGGAGGGGATGGAGGGGCAGGCTAGCAGAAATTCTTTGTGGAATTGGAGGATGGAGGGGCAGGCTAGCAGAGATTCTTTGAGGAATTGGAGGGGATGAGGGGCAGGCTAGCAGAGATTCTTTGTGGAATTGGAGGGGATGGAGGGGGCAGGCTAGCAGAGATTCTTTGAGGAATTGGAGGGGATGGAGGAGGCAGGCTAGCAAAGATTCTTTGAGGAATTGGAGGGGATGAGGGGGCAGGCTAGCAGAGATTCTTTGAAGAATTGGAGGGGATGGAGGGGGCAGGCTAGCAGAGATTCTTTGTGGAATTGGAGGGGATGGAGGGGCAGGCTAGCAGAGATTATTTGAGGAATTGCAGGGGATGGAGGGGCAGGCTAGCAGAGATTATTTGAGGAATTCGTCGAAAAAACTTACCAGCCAAGCAGGGTGGCAGTGTGGAGACAAAATGGGTGGCGGCGGGCAGAAAAGTGGTTTCCAGGATCGGACAGGCAGATGCAAATGCAATATGCCACGATTATTCAGCATTTCGTTCCTCGGATTCAAATTTTACTTACAATTACAGGGTGTCCCAATAAAAAACACCCCGCTCTAACTCGACGTAGAAGTGTCGGATCGCAACGATGGTTACACCCTTCGAAAGCCCTTGAAACGGCGAGTTTGCAACAATTTTCAAAATGATTTCTTATTTAAATTTTACAATTTAAATGCGCGATTTTACACGCCGTTTTGTAAAATTTTACCTCTTTTCGGGGTCGCATGCGAGCTAATTTGCCTCAAATTCTCTATAGAAAATAACCGGAAGTCGCGGATAATTAAATGCAAAGGCCGTTCCTTAATGTTTTTTCAGGCGTTGTAAGATGGCGCGTTTGAATAAAAACATGGTTTTGAAAACGATTGCAAACTCGCCGTTTCAAGGGCTTTCGAATGGTGTAAATTATATATGGGTCGACGCTTGCATGCGCCGCATAAGCGTGGCTGGTCACGCTCTCCCGGAGCGTGGAGGACCACGCTTATGCGGCGCTTTATGCGTGCTTTTTCACGCGCGCGATTTAACTCCAGATGCAAATCAAAAATTTAAAGGACATATATTTATGATTTCGATTTGCAAAAATGAATTACCGATACATAACTATCGGGGTCATCTTTAAATTTTGATAAATAAACAAGATAGATCGTCATTCAACTTCTTGTTAATTAAATTCTCGAAAACGGATAGATTTTTGCTTTCATGTCCCTTGGAAAACTTTGATTTTGCATTTTTAGAAGCTTTGCATAAGCGTTTCCGGAGCGTGGCGGGCCACGCTCATTTCGGCGTGGTTTATTAAGAGGCACGCGCGCCAGCGTGGCTATCCACGCTCCGGAAGAGCGTGGCCGGCCACGCTTATGCGGCGCCTGCAAGCGTCGACCCATGTATAGTGTAAATATCAACCCGATCCGATACTTTTGCATCGAGTTAGAGGGGTGTTTGGTAAGACTCCAGATAACCCCCAGCCGGCACTACTTTGTATCTCGGCTCCCTGTTCATCTACAGGTGTGTAACGTATACCAAAATGTTCGTCTTGCTCTGGCGAGTATTTTGGTATACTTTACACACCTGTAGATGAACAGGGCGCCGAGATACGGTAGGTGGGGGTCGGCTGGGGGGGGGTTATCTGGAGTTTAGCCGGGTGTTTTTTATTGGGACACCCTGTAGCTCCGCTCTACTGGCGAAGCAAGGTGAATGCGAAAACACGCTGGAATGGAATTTTCCTTTTTTCGCCTTTGCTTATCTGTTCACAATAAATAACGTTTTTAGTAGTTTTTGATTGCTGGAAAGGCACAAAAAGTTTTAAAAATTTTTCAAAATTCGAAAAGTTCGACGTTTCTGGGGATTTTTCATTAAAATTTGGCCAAAAGTCAACCTTTTTTAAATTTTTTGATGGGTTTTTTAGATCTTTAGACTGCAAGATGCTAAAAATGATTTATGTTTTGTTATGGGCCGTAGAGAATCAGAAGGAAGATTTGCTGCGCACAGTCCAGAACCGTTTCTCTCCCTCTCTCTCGCGCTCTCTCTCGCTCTCGCGCTCTCTCTCGCTCGCTCTCTCTCCATCTCATGCTCGCTCTCTCCCTCTCCCGCTTGCTCTCTCTCGCACTCTCTATTTCTCACTCACTCACTCTCTCTCTCCATCTCTCTCTCTCTCTCTCTCTCGCTCTCTCTTGCTCTCGCGCTCTCTCTCGCTCTCGCGCTCTCTCTCGCTCTCGCTCACTCTCTCGCTCGCTCTCTCTCCATCTCATGCTCGCTCTCTCCCTCTCCCGCTTGCTCTCTCTCGCACTCTCTATCTCTCACTCACTCACTCTCTCTCTCTCTCGACCTACGTGAATTTATGATCGGTCAGTACGAGTCTTCTAATATCTTCAAGGCACAGCAATACCAACTCCATCACCAGAAATTTAATCTTCGGTGCGGTGGACGTTGGACGGTGCGTAGCGGAATTAGGCAGGGATGCAGTCACTACCCCCGAAAAGTCACTACCTCGAAAGAGCTCAGATGCTCTTATAATGCGTAACCCTCGGCGATATTAAGGAAGTCGAAGGGTATCAAAGTATTGATTAGGTCAAAAAACATCTGCCAGCGACTGGGCCGAACTAACCCCCGATTTATGCTCGCTGACGGGGCTGACTGGGGGTCAGGCGTGTACATCTTTGCTTCGAGAATACAACCCTTATTCTTTCCATAATTCCAGTTTATTTAGAGATGGTGATGTTCCCCGCTGGCCGTCTCCCTGATGCCGTCTTCCGAGCCGTCATCGACCAGTTTGGTTTCTGCGATTTGATCCGTTTGCAACGCGTCAACAAATCGATCAGGTGCCGTGCAGAGTTACGCTTACGAGCGAACCATGCAAAGGTTAAGGTGGCGTGGGCGGATCCGTACTCTGGTCATTATCATATTAGGCTAGTCGCTTACCTTACCGCTTACCGCTCGGCCATTCCACTGGTGATCCCATACTAATGGGATACCCTAATAAGACTTCCCTGGAATGCTAAATTTGGTACTGTTCTATTTCGCGGGGGATGTTATTCGTTTTGTTATAACCTTTTTTAAATGATGCTATTTTGAGTTGTAATTAAAACACTTAGTTTATTTTTTGACGCTCTATCGAATGGCATTAAAGGAATTTTTGAAAGATATCGAAAATGTCAAAAACTAGCTTTCGACTCCACGATCCCATGTGGAAACACCGTATAAACCTTGTTTTTGCCATCTTATAAAACAATATTTTTAGATGAAATTAAAACTCTTACTATAGTTTTCGATGCTCTATCGGGTGACGGGTTCAAAATATCGAAAAACTGGCGAAAATGCCGAAAACTAACATTTCGGCACCAGTTTCAATAGTTTTTTTTTTGTTTTTGCTATAACTTTTTTATATTACAATATTTTTAGCTAAAACAAAAACTCTTAGTATATTTTTCGATGGTCTATCTAATGGCGTTGCAAAAATCCCAAAAAACGAAAAGATGGAAATAAGTTTTCGCGAAGCATATTTTCCCCCGCACAGTTCCCCCCCCCCGCGAAATAGAACAGAACCCTAATTTTTTTTGCGTGCAAACAATGATTTTCCGGAAGTGCTGTATCGCTGTCTACAGGCCTGCGTAGCAAAATCGGGAAACGGCATCGTGTTCTTCGTAGTCGAATACCCGGGGGTAGCCGCAAGCGTTTGCCAAATGCCACCCTGTGAGCGTGCCCTTCCCTTGTAAGAATTCTAGGCCATTTTTACCGCTAATTAAAAGACGAAAGAAATGTTCAGGGTTCTGATCAATAAGCGCGGGTTATTTCCGCGGAAAATCAATGAGGTGATCATCAATGCTTCGACGCCACTACCCGGATTCGTTGACACCGACGATGATCGGGTAAGAGATTGGGAAGGAATTGAAGAAATTAGGTATTGGCGTGTGGGGCGTGGGGGGGGGGGAGAATGGACTAAATACTAAAACCAAAACAAATACTAAAACTAAAATAAAGGAAAACAAAAAAAACTAAAGGACTAAAATTTTTCCTGGCAAGCCGGGATGGCCCAGTAACCGAATAAAAAGTGTCTTTAGTTGTTTGTGTGTTGTGTTTTCGAAACCTTGGGTTGAAGTCGGGTCCAAAAAATCAATTTTTCGACCTAAAATACTTTTCGTTGAATTTTGTCAAGTTTTTATGCTCACGAATAGAATGCTTCGACCGTGTTTCTTTATTCGATAAAAATTTTCCTTTAGCCTTTTTTTTTGTCGGGCTAAAACAGATTTTCTTAGTATATTTTTGGTTCTTGTGTATTCCCGGGGGGGGAACCAACTTTTTTTCTGTCGGCCTGGTGGGTATAGTACAGGGTGTATCAAAAAAAAGTGCCCAAGTTTGTCCCCAATTATCTTGAGAAGGAAAGATATTTCACCGTGCGTTACCATGCCAGAATGCTTAAATATGTCAGGAATAGGGAAATAACTCAACTTGATTTTTTCGATTTTTGGCGACGTATCAATACAAATGACACCCGAAAACTGTGCGTTCGGGGAAACTTCACTTGCATTTTT